CTGATCCTTTCAAAGAAGGCTCTAGACTAACCTAAGGAGGTACAGCCCTTCTTGAACAGTGCAGTACCTGGGGGAGGAGACAAAATGAGTCCTCAAACAGTGGTGGAGAGCAGGAACATGACAGAGCCCAACTGAGCCCAAGGGACTAGACAGAAATATTTATGATAGGCAGTCAGACAGGGCCAGGCCCTCAAAGGAGCCAGTATGGAAGACAAGATACTTTCTTGCAAATGGAGAGGTGGTACTTGCTGCTGGCCAGATCCCAAAACAAATGATTAAACAAACACACCCACATACCTCCCTAGGGTTGAACCTCAGGGATATTCTAAATAGGTAGTGATCATCTTGAAGAGTCACTGACCCAACCCCCTACAGGCTGTGTGGAAAAGCCCCTGTTCTGTATTCCCGCCCACTTGCTATGTGACTGGCTTCCCCATTTGTTTCCAAGGTAATCAGTTTTACCTAAACAATTCTTCTTGGCTGACCATAATTTTGTCCCACCTCATGTCCACCTTGGGATTTCCCATTTTTCCCCTACCTTGGACCCACCTCATTTCACAGTTTTGCTCTATAAAAGTCCTTAGAAAAGACACAGTCTTGGGCAACCCACTAATGCCCCCCTTTTGTCTCTCCCTCAGACAGCAGCTTTCCTTTCCTCAATAAATATATTCTACAATTTAAAAAAAAAATTGAAGTCTCAAAGCAGGTGCAGATAGAGTGAGCCACACTGTGTCAACTGGGACCAATTAAGCTGCTCTAACAAAAGAGACTCCACACTATATACTGCATAGTCCTATTTCTGTCTTACAGAATAATCTGGAGTGAGCAGTCCAAGTCCATAGAGAGGCTGTTCCATTTCTACATGCTGTTTCCATGCCTACTCAAAGTGGAAGCTCCAGTTCTCATCATCACCCAGTCATAGAAAGGGAGAAAGAATCCACTCACCATGATTAGCTGTTTCAATGGGAAGATCCAAAATGGGGCAGAATCACTGTTGTCCAAATCTTTTGGCCCAAATTTAGCACAGGCCCATGTTTAGGAAGGCTGGAGAATAGAGTCTTTATCTGGACAGCCATCTGTCTAGCTGAAATGTGATGAAGATAAAAGAATAGGGAACATAGTAGGGGACTAGATTCAGTCTCTGGCACCAGCAGAAATAAGGAGGTAGGTCCTTGGAATACCAAGCCACCTGTAAAAGTCTTTACCTTTACCCACATCACACATGGAGAACCTTCCACACTTCCCCAAGGTGGGGCTTTGCCAATGCCACACACACTTAGGGTTTCAGGCTAGCTCCAAGGTATTTAAAAAAAAAAACCTTTGAGATGAGGTCATGCTATATTGTGCAGGCTGGACTTGAACTTGCAGTTCTTTTATCTCAGCCTCCCAAAGACCTGGGATTACAGGTGTACAGCATCATGCCCTGCTTTGGGTCTTCTTGTCAATCCTCATGTTATATCTGAGTCATTAAAATATTATCTTTTCATTTTTCCATATATGGCTGATGCTAGGTGTTTATTTTTGAGTGCTATGGGATAGAATGCAGGAGTATTGAGAGAAAGGCTAGGAAGAGAGTGGCAGAGGTTATAGCTGGACAGATACCAAGCAAAAGGGATAAAACTAAGGAACTGCATGCCGAGGAAATTATACTTGCCCTATATATAGACATGTGTTTTATATACACAAAACATATGCACCATAGATTAATAGCACTTTCTAAAAGTTTATAAAAATGATCTTATATGTCCATTTCCAATCAATAGGCTATCTAGAGATTTTGTATAAAGGAAATGTCCATGGTGAATAGATGTATGCCCACTTATTATCCATAGTAAAAACTTTTCACTTGAATTTTCAATATTAACCTATCAAATTTTTATTTGATAAGTTTATCAAATCACTTATAATTATCCCAGAAAGTAATACTATTTACAGAAGAATTGGAATTGTGTTTTTCAAGAACATATAAACCCTGAATATTCATCTTGTGAATGCTGAGAATTAATTATTTTGGCTCTGATTATTTTTCTAAAAAAATTTGAATCACCATCCCATCTTTAATAATAGTGTGAGGCTTAGAATTTTAATAGGGAAGAAATGTTCAAATAGAAGGGGAACTGGGAGGGTGGCAGGGGGAAAGGAAGAAAGGGAAAAATGAGAAAAGAAAAAATGGAAACAAAGCTTTGGTAAGTAAGGAGGAGAAGAGAGGTTAAGGGAGGAGAGAGAAATGGGAAAAAAGAAGAAACAAGATATATCAGGTACAAATTCCCTATGATGAATGTGATCAGAATGTATAGCTAAAATGTACCAATAAACTTAATTAATTTAAAAAATAATTACAAATGAATGAACTAAGAATAAATGAATTATGGATAAATAAGTAATGTATACATGAATGAATACACACTTTGAAAATTGCATTTCCTTTTTTAAAATCCTTGGATGATATTCAATGAATTTCTGATTCATGACCTCATCATCAGACCCTTACTAAAGGTGTAAATAAAAATTTCACTAATACACCATTGCTTGAGTTAATTTTCAGTATCTTCTCATTAATGCATTTATTGCTGCCTTATTTCTAAAACATATTATGAGAACCATGCCAATTTCTGTTTGTTTGTTTGTTTGCTTGTTTTTAATAATATACAGGATGTGAAGACATGAAGGCTGACATCATGTTTCTGGTGGATAGTTCTGGAAGTATAGGATCTGCTAATTTTGAGACAATGAAAACCTTCATGAAAGACCTGTCGACTAAGATTGACATTGGTGCAAACCAAACCCAGATTGGTGTGGTTCAGTTCAGTAATCATAATAAGGAAGAGTTCCAGCTTAACAAATACTTTACAACAAGAGAAATTTCTGATGCAATAGACAGGATGTCTCCCGTTGATAATACCACCTTGACAGGAAGTGCATTAACCTTTGTAAGTCAATATTTTGCCCACCCCAAGGGGGCCCGTCCCCAGGTCAGAAAGTTTCTCATCCTCATCACAGATGGTGAAGCACAAGATGATGTGAGGGTTCCTGCAATTGCTCTTCGGGAAAGTGGGGTGATCATCTTCTCTGTGGGAGTGTTTGGTGCCAACAGGACTCAGCTGGAAGAGATCAGCGGAGATCGAACCCTCGTTTACCATGTTGAGAACTTTGACCTCCTGAAAGCACTCAAAAATAAACTCATCTTTAAAGTGTGTGCTCTCCATGGTAAGTGACCCTGATATCTTTCAGAACTCATGTGTGTAATCTGTGAATTTATAGTGGATGACAAGTGTTATACTCTGGGCTTGGCCATTACCTGGATTTTGGTGTTAAGTTTTGGTTTTACTTACATTATAGTAAAACACTATTGACTTCCAGGGATATTCCAAGTTAACAGTTTGGCACTAAATAATCTTGCTTTTGGGGACTTCAAATATATTTCAAGAAGGTCTCAGGATTTTATCTTCCTTTTAGTTAAATGAAGTTCAATATCCTAAGCAGATTTGATCTACTAAACATTTTTTTTTGTATTTTAAAGATATATATTAACTTTCATTACATTCTTCTTTACTCTATTTTATATTTGTTAGTTCATGTCCTACCCTTTTGGAAACTTTAACTTTGTGATATATTTCTGATTTCTTGGAGTCACCATTTTTAGGTCACAAATAGCTGTGCTTTTCAAATTGTATTGAACAGTCTTTGTGGAAATGTAAAAATAAGGCTTCTTGTGACTCATAGATAAGCAGTTTCAACAGGTTTGAGATTGCCCGGAAAGGAGGGAGCGCCAGAAGGGCCAGAGCATTATCTTCTGTCCTTGGAAGAAAGAACATCTGGTGTTGACACAGCTCTCTCCCCCTCCCCTTGCCCATAAGCAGAAAAACTCTGCATTCCTGCACACTATACATCATAGAGGCCCAATAAGTGTAAAAAACTATGTGTATTAACCAATGCCATCTGCTTCTGTAATGACGCTTGCAAGCCCCCTCCTTTGTGGTTTTTCGGGTTAAAGAGCCAGAACTGACCTGGCTCGGGGCTCTCTGTTCCTGCGAGCTCAGTGAGCCCCATGCATGCTTGGTAAATAAAATCCCCTTGCTTTTTGCATGAGAGAACGTCTCTTGGAGTCTTCCTTCACGCGGCGAGTGTCTCGACCCTAACAGTCTTCAGTTCGAACCTATCAATTTTAACATCTCTTGAATGACAAATTGCTATAAATCCACACAAAGACTAAAATGCCTATGCTTTTAATCTACCATATCATATTATCTGTTTTGGATACAGCTAAGAGAACAAACCAAAACATCTATAAGTTTATTGTGCGTTGTTCTCCTGGCAACATAAAGACATCTGTTGGACTTAATTTTTCAAAATTATGTGTATGAAATTTTCAGAAAGTTAACAAATAAAATTTCATTGTAAACTCTGAGTTTTAGGTGAATTCTAAGACTTCTTGGTAACAGCTTAATGAAAATATTTTCTGCCTGTGAAGCAGCAGTGATTCCAACACTCCTGGTGACGTTGAGAGGTAAACCCACATGCATAGCTTAGACACGGAAATCTGCAGGGTTCTTCCTAGAGTTTTGTTTCTCATTTGACAGATGTAATGTTTGTGGAGGCTCTGTATATAGCATAAGGGGACATCTCTGCTAGTTCGTTCATTAGATGGACTCATACTTACTAAGTCATGGCTAGTCACCACATCTCTATGGTCATTGCCCCAGGTTTTTATGGTTACAGCCTAAGCTATCCACAGTGTCTAGGACTTGAGAATTTGAGACTTCATTGCAAGATGTAAAGATTAGAGATAATGTTGGCAGGTGGAAAGTGGAGAAAATGAAGCTTTGGAAGGTATATGCTAAGCTATTTAAGGAAGAAAACAAGAGGGTCAGAATCTATCCTTTGAAGACCTGCCACCAGAGTGGTTTCTTGGCTTCTAATGTGGAGCAGGGTTTGGGACTAACGAGGAGGAGATGAGTGGTTCTGTTCTTCCCCCAACTTGAGGCCACTCTTTTAATGAGTTCTAATTCAAGAGGTCAGTGGAAGGAGCACAGCGAAGTGTGGAGAGGCAGATGCATGTGGGAAGGTTTGCCGACCAAAGGCTCAGAGAGCCTGAGGGACCTGAAGGAAACCCCAATTTAAACAATGAGCTCCTAAATTCTTTAAAAGGTCAGTATCAGTATGTTTCACCCTGCTGGTGGCACTGAACTAGCTTCTGACATTGCCTTGCAGTTGGAAGCCTGCTTAGCAAAAGGCCTTAGCTCTCCCAGTGAGATGCAGCAGAAGACAGTGACATTGTACAAGGGGTCATCGATTGTGGCCTTATGCAGATGAGGACAGCACTGTCTTTGGAGTCCTGATCTGGGCATGCTGCCCTTTTCTGAGCCTCGTCAAAGAATTGAGTGATGGGGGCTGTTGGCATGTGATGGGTTCATGGCAAAAGTCAGGTTGCTTCCCTGTCAGTGATGTGTGCAGGATGCCCCACCTAGTATTTGTGATCCCCTCTTCTTTCCTTTTTCAGATTGTAAAAGGATTGAACAGTTAGACATTGTCTTTGTGCTGGATCACTCTGGCAGCATCAATTCAGAACAGCAAGAAAGCATAGTCAACCTGACTGTCCATTTGGTGAAAAAAGCAGATGTTGGCAGGGACAGAGTTCAGTTTGGAGCTCTCAAATATTCAGACGATCCTGAGATTCTTTTCTACCTTAACACATACTCCACCAGTTCAGCAATCACTGAGAATCTGAGGAGACGCAGGACTACTGCAGGGAATACCTACACTGCCAAGGCTGTCAAACACTCGAGCATCATGTTCAGAGAGGAGCACAGCAGCTGCATCAAGCAAAACGTGAAGCAGATGCTGATCATCATCACAGACGGGGAATCCCATGACCGAAGCGAGCTCAGCAGTGCAGCATTGCAGCATTGCAATTAAGAGACAAAGGCATCACCATCTTTGCAGTGGGTGTAGGAAAAGCCAACCAAGATGAACTGGAGATGATGGCAGAGCATAAAAACAATACTATCCATGTGGAGAATTTTGACAAACTGAAAGATATTTATCTGCCTCTACAAGAAAGAATGTGTACCAATGCACCAGCAGATAAGTTGTTTTTCCCTCCTCATGGAGAGTAACAATTAAGTTTACATGAAATAATAAATCTTGACTTCCTGTTACCTGGGTGACAGAGGCTAAATCTTTCTTTACTCAGCAAACCAGTTTTCTCATCTAAAAAACATTGGGTTAATTGAGCAAGATCTCAAAGTTCTCCTCCTACCACCTTAGGCATTGATGAGCTGACACAGGAAAGTTTCAGACACAGTCCTTCTCTGAATGTCACCCTGTTGCCTTTTCCTGTCCACAGGAAGCTCTTTCTAGGATCATAGTCATCTCACCTCATTTAACCACTACTTATGCTGCTCCGTTTGCCTCATGGTCTCAGTGCAGCCACCAGGCATAAGTTTTATGCCAGACTCAAGTGGAGAGTTTTATGGTTGAAATAGATAGGCTTTTGTCTTTAAAATCCAGTGTTATGCTAAAGGGTAAAAAGGATGTAGAAGTCCACATACTAGCTCCAGTCCATGACAATTTTGTGTTCTTAGGCAAGTTACCTAACCTCTGATTTCCATTTCTATATCTAGAAAATTAGCATAATTCCTCATAAGGTGAATTTATATATTAACTATATTGTTGTATTCTAAAAGCATTTTAGCAACACTCAGTACATAGGCAATGGGAAACATTAATAACAATAGGAGTACTAATAGTTTTACAGTAGTATCATACCTTGACTTGAGTGAATATTCCAATCTGAGTATAAAGAGACCTCCAGCCTGTGTAATTAATTACCTTTTAATGATGTATTCAATCTATTCACACTTTATACTTTTTCTCTGAGTAGCTTGCAGTGTCATTTCTAAGTAATCATGCAAATAATTACAATTTTAAAATCCTCCATTATCATTCTCTTCCTGCTATTTTTCCTTCTTTTGAAGACCAATCAGGGATTCTCTCTTTTGTTAACTTCTCTCAATTTGCTACTAATGTGAAGCAATTTAAATATTTAGTAAAATAGTTTAAATATTAAAGAAAAAATTTAGACTGATTCACGGGAATAATTTATTCTTTTTTTCCTGTTGCAGCCTGTGACCTTCAGGAAGTTGATGTGGTATTCCTTTGTGATGGGTCTGACTTGGTATCAGATTCAGAGTTTGTTGCCATGATGACTTTCTTGTCAGATTTAACTGATAATTTTAAACTTCAGCCTCACATGCAAATTGGGATGGCTCAATATGGAAGCTGCTACCAGGAAATTATTGAGTTGAAAAATTCTCTGACTACAACCCAGTGGAAGTCAAAAATTCAAACTGTTGCCAAAACCAATGGGTTTCCGCAAATTCACTAAGGCCTTAAACATGTGCTCCATATGTTTGATCCACCCACTGGTGGGAGAAAAAATGCTGGTGTTCCTCAGATTTGGGTGATTATCATATCTGAGCATCCTGCCTATAATGTGATAGATGCAGTAAAAGCCCTAAAAGACCTTGGAATTTGTATCCTGGTTTTGGGCATTGGCGATGTTAATAAAGAACAGCTTCTGCCGATATCCAGCAATTCTGAAAAAATAATCACTTTGCAAGACTTTAATAGATTAAGGAATGTGGATGTGAAAAAAGAATGGTTCGTGAAATCTGCCAGAGCTGTGGGAAAACCAGTGAGTGCTCTTTGTGTTGTTTTCTTCACTTGCAACCTCCCATTTTTCTTGGGGTGTTTTAGGGACCAGCTCCAGCAGAATATACATTCAGAAGCATGTTCAATGAGAAGAGACCTCTCTTCCTCCAATAAGTTTGGGATCAGCCAACCTCCCTCAAAGACAAGGAGAGAGTACAGGGGAGAGAGGGGGCTGGACTGTGTCCTCCAGTCACTCTGTCCCCTCTGCAGTCTAATGTTTATGTTCCATTTAGTACTGCAGATCAGCCTCCTATTTCTACCGTTATCATTTCTGCAAGTCCTAGGACAATACTCTGCATCCAGGAGGAAGTAAAGAAAATGAACATTTGGTTGAAACTTTTCTAATTTTAGCTTCTAAAACCCATCTGTAAGGGACTTGTATGTGATACATATAGATGTTTGTATACAGTGTGTTTTTCTTCCTTTAATGATCATCCTCATACCATCATAATGTAGTAAAGCTTTAAATTGTTCTTAGAGATTTTTGAATCCAGAGGCCTAAATATAAATGGCTATCAAGGCCAGGTGCTCCTGTGGGTGAAGCAAGTGGGCTGGCTGTGAGGACAGTGAACTGGAGAGCAATTGACAATGAAGGCGCAGTTTAGGTCCAGCTGACAGTAGCCGTGGGGGACTCAGGTTCCGTCATCAAGGGTCTGGGATCTGGGAGGACAACATGTCAGGAGACAGTGCACACTTCATAAAATCTGCACAACACAGGAGTCCTTGGAGTGCTTCTGTTTCTAGAAGTGTTCTCATGGAAGCTGTTCTGTCACAAAATATATCAGTCTTGCAAGTGCTCCAGAGCTTTTATGTCTTATTTGGGTGCTCACGTGGAGGCAACTGACAGAACAGAGCCCTGGGCCTGGGGACAAAAAGCCAAAGTTCTAATTCTGGAACAGCAGCAGCACAGCCTCCATGAATAGCTGTCCCCTCACCTGGAAAATGAAGAGCTAGACAGCATCAACGGGAACCAACAGCAGTTTGAGTGTGCTGTGGACTCTGTTCAGAGCTGACAGCCTGCCAATTTAATCATCAGTTCTAACGAACTTGAGATTTCACATTTTGAGAGTGTAGATTTCAGGCTTCTTTTTGAGAATATTGGACCCTATTTCCCACCTGGCTGTCTCTGCTGGAGCTGAGCAACAGATCCGGTGAGCCATTGTTCTCAGGTTCTCATCTGCATTACCCAGTCAGCCTCCACACCTATTTGCATTTGCGGCCCCTGAAGAGTAAATGATCTGCAGAACAATTCAAATATTTCCTATGTTATGATTATATGCATCAGAATGTCATTAACAGAAGAAAAAATGTGCATATACACAGCCACTAAGAATGAGACTAAACTATGGTTTCAATTTCAACTTGTAATATTTGAAAGGGGACAGAGGAAATACCTGTGTTACATGTTGAGAGAGCAGCCAGTACCTTCCTTTTTGAACACTTTTGGGTACCTGAGACCCTCTACACTCAGCTCTGGGGGATAACAGTGCTCCTTTTCCCTGCCCTTCCTGCCTGCCCCTCCTGCTTGCTCTCCTTACACCTGTTTGCTCATTAAACTGGCCTTGTTTCCCTTGGTTTCCAGGTTGCTTTGTGGATGTAGTGGTCGGGTTCAACATTTCCACTCACCTTCAAGGTCAGCCTTTGTTCCAGGGCCACCCCCACTTGGAATCGTCCCTCCCAGGCATTTTACAGGATGTCACTTCCACCAGGAGCGTGAGCTGTGGGGGAGGTGCTGGGGCCCAGGTGAGCCTGGCCTTTAGGGTGAACAGTGATGGAGAGTTCCCTGCCAAGTTCCTAATCTACCAGAAGGCAGTGTTTGACTGCTTGCTGCAAGTTTCCATCCGTGGCCCAACTCATCTGAATGCACAGTTCTTGCAGTCCCTGTGGGACACATTTGAGGACAGATCTGCATCCCAGGGACAGGTAGCCTTGTCACTTTCTCTCTCTCCACTCCTTATTCTTTGATTAGTTCCTCCTTCCCCAGGTGCATCTCTAGCCTTTACATCATCCTGTTTGTTGCTTTCCTCTTGCTCTAGGTGCTGCTGATCTTTTCAGATGGTCTCCAGGATGAAAGCATCACAATGCTTGAAAATCAATCAGACAGGCTGAGAGAAGCAGGTATTACACTGAATATGTAAACAGCAAAACATGGAATATGCTGAACAAGCCTTTAGCCTTACCCAGGCGTTCTTGATTTTGGGACCCTTTGGTCACTTACAAGGGATGTTGTTGGTAATTTGCAAGAGTTCCTTGTTCTGTCCCATAGACATCCCCCAAATGCTGCAAATGCTCTGGGCAAGTGCTTACCCCATGGTTTTCTCCAGCCTCAAATGCATGTGGACATGCTTGCAATAAGCATGGGGTTATATCATTCCCCTTCTTTGTGCATGGGACTATCAGTGGTATGGACACAAGAAAGCCCAGCACCCACATCTTAGGTGAGTCAACTCTGGTACAAGGGATATCATACTAAAGACAGAAAGCAGAGCTCAGTGCATATCCACAAATGTAGGTATATCTGCACTGAGTTCTTCATATGGTGGCACTCTTGCTTTCTCTTGTGTTTCTTTCTCTCTGTTTCTATTCTCTGAATAATGTTCACCAAGTAGAACTTTTTCTTGTACAAGCCCTTGAGTTTTATTCCTATTTTTACTCCTATTTTTCCTCCTATATTTACTCCTAGTTTTACTCCTATTTTAACAGGACTTGATGCTCTGCTGGTGGTAGCTCTCAGCACAGCTGCTCAGGATGAGTTTTCCAGCTTTGAATTTGGAAAAGGATTTGATTATAGGACTCACTTGACCATTGCAATGACAGAGCTAGGCAGCATGCTGTCAAAGTACCTGGTGAGTTTTTTTTTTCAAAAATCCAGTTATTCCAAATGCCATGAGGACTAAGTTGAACTCTTAGTATCTCCAAACACTGCCTTTGTTTTCATTTTTTTGTTTGTTTGTTTTTGGTGCCAGGAATTGAACTCAGGACCTTGTACTTGCCAAGCAAGGCATTGTGCCACTGAGCTATCTCCCCGGCCCCAAACACTGCCTTTGGATGTACCACTGTATTAAGAGTATGGTCATAGCAGATAAAAATTGTGAAACACCAGAATATAGTATTTTGGGGTTTTCTGCACATCCTTTAATCCATTGTCATCTCACTAAGTGAATGAATAGGTAACAAAGGACAAGCCAGTCCTGGTTTAATTAAACAGCTCCTAACAGTGTATGCTATAGAAATTCCTGTTTTAGGATATCATTAACTAGGACCAAAAAGTCTCAGGCAAACTTGACGTGTGACCATTTATGTGCTTGGTGCCCTTTCTATAAATGAAGGCCACTTCTTTTGGAATGGGGGTGTACTACTTTCTCTGTTGTATTGAGTCAACAAGCACCTCTTCTTCTTTGTAGCCTGTTACCCAAAAACAAAAGATGGGCTTGCAGGTGGGGGATTATGATTTGTATGAATCTGATTCTCATGTAATAAAATTTCTGACAGTTGTTACTCACTCAGCTGTGCTTTTTTCAGGGAAACATTGCAGAGAGGACTTGTTGCTGTACATTTTGCAAATGCCAAGGGGTCCTGGGACCTCACGGAACCCAGGGATTGCAAGGTTTCAAGGTGCTATTCGGTTACAATGCTATTTCCTTTAGTGTGCCTTGCCCCGGGGTGGGTGGGACTGAGACCAATTGGTTGAATTTGCAATCTTCAGTCCGTACTAATGTAACTGCACTAGGCATTTCACACGACTTTTATGGTATAGGAGGCAATCCAGAAGGTCTCACTTTTGATACTGCTATTAAAAATAACTCTCTTTTCTCATATGTATCCTTCTTCGTTTTGCAATTCACACATTTATATTTGCTGTAGACAGTTTGAAAGGTGTTAGGAATAGTGGAAATAGTTATGCTTCATCAGCAGTGAAATGAGAGTGAACTGCAGAAAATCATAGGCTTCTAAAACAACAAATTTTAAAAGATCAATTATACACCAACAATTAATAAATACATCATAGAATGAAATACTTTATTTCAATCAAAAGAATTAACTATAGCTATACATATATACATTCCACCAACACAGTAATTGACCTAAAAAAAGCAAAATACAGAATACATGTGGATTTCGTTTATGCAGAGCTTGAAAAGAGGTAAAATTAAGCTATAGTGTGTAGGAACAAATACTCAAGTGGTAAAGTCCTTTAAGGAGGAAAGAAAATATAAATTTCTGGAGTGCTGTCCTGCAGATGGGGTGGCAGTGGTAGGAACTGAGTAGATTGTGATTGTGGGAGCATGTGCCTAGGATAATGTTGTAATTCTTGACCTGGGTGATGGGCACACAGATTTTACATACAATAATTATAAAATTACTGAGTAAAATGTACTTTATAATGATATGTACTTTTACATTGTATGCATTTATGTACTTTTCAAATGAATTTTTCAACATCCCAAGAAAAGGACTCTTTTCAAAAAGATAAACTATAATACTTGCTCATGATATCCTCATCATCTATCCTTGTGGAAGGATAATTTACATTGGACTTTTTCCTGTGTTGTGCTATTTGGTTTAGTAGACTCACCTCTGTTAAGTCAACAGTAGAATTATGTCCTAGGTGCATGGCCTCCCTGATATACTGAGTAGACAGTTGCGGTCTGTGTTGGAGGGTGGGGAAAGTAAACCTTAAATAAAATCTTTGCCACAAAGCAATTAAACTGTGGCAGAGGGAGAGATGATGGTAAGTTAAATATATCCCATCTTCTTGTTGTGCTTGTTCTTCCTTGAGCTCTCAAAAAAAGCACAGGAAAATAAGATGATCTCTTTGCAGCTGTGATCAGCTTTCCTGCTAAAAAGTTATGGCAGTCACAGCTGTCCTACCTGCAAGCCCTTTGGGCACAGGAGTGGCCTTGTGGCTCACACCCGCAGGGTAGGGCCCCAGGGTCAGCCTTGTTCTGGCATCTAAAGGGTCACCTGCAGAGGGGCTTAAGAGATGAGTGAAAGAACAAACCCAGCTTCTGATGTTGTCAGACTCTTCCTAAAGTAACAGCTGTACCTCCAAAACTGCAAGCACGTTGAAGGGAGGAAATTGAATAGCATGCCTCAGAACGTTGTGAATCTGGCAGCTAACACACACTTTTCTCTTTCCTTCCAGGGTTCTTCAGGTCAGAAAGGCAGCAGAGGACACAGGGGAGAAGACGGAGACCCTGTACATTTTGTGACTCCCCCTCCCCCTGATTTTCCTGATTTTCTTTTTTGGGAAAAGCTTTATGTTCATACAAAAGTGGCAGATGGAGTTCTGTTTATATGTTTATTTTATAGTGTTGTAGGGAAAAGCATTGCTTTTGTTTTCCTTTTTTCTTGTCTGAATTATGAGCCCTTCAGTAAATGTAAGTTGGGTTGGGGGAGGGCACAGGTTCACCTATGTGGTCTGGCATGCATGTGTCAGGGGTGGGAAGCTGAACATCCTCCTTTCAACCCCAAGCAGGATGCATCAGGCTACCTGCTAGGAAGCTGTCTTTAGACTGAAACCCAGTGCTTAGTATAAGGCCATAGGCCAAAGCTGGAGCATCCATCCTTCCACTGGGCAAGGTCTCCCCTAGGCATGGCTCCATGACCACACAGAGGTTCAGGGATCTCAATCCTTGATCCTAAAACCAGAACTCTTCCTTAGTTCACAACCAAATTATGAGTGGAATTTGCAGGAAGGGAGCCACTTGTTTGGCTCCATTTGGGGTGGGGTGATTTCTTTTTTTTTGTTTTGTTTTGTTTTGTTTTGTTTTGTTTTGTTTTTCTCCGGTACCGGGAATCGAACTCACGACCTTGCGCTTGCCAGGCAGGCGCTTTGCCGCTGAGCTAAATCCCCAGCCCCCGGGGTGGGGTGATTTCAAGAAGCTTCTTGACTAGACCTATGTCCTATGCCATCAAGGCCAGCTCCTCATATGGGTAGCAAGTTTATCAAATACAGAAGCCAGACTCTGGAATTAGACTGCCATCAGTTGATCTACATAGGAGATTTTGAACAAGAGACTTAACTTCTTGACCTTAGTTTCCTCAGCTGTAAATGCTTACACATTCCTCTAGGACCCTAAAGCTGACCTCATTTGCAAAATTCACTCACCTGGTACCCTCAAAGGAGGGTCAAGTCAGTGTGGGAACACGTTGGATGCTGGGAATAGTGTTACCCATCTGCCTGGCTGAAGGCCCACAGCTGGCCAAAAATCCAGGCAACTGAAAGTTGTAAGGCTTAGTTAGGTACACATAACAACCTGCGGCCTTGGGTAAGACAGAAAATAATCCTCAGAATAAAGAAAGCAAAGCAGGGAAAAGGAAAATCACTTATCTCTCTCTCAGGAAGGAAAGAGTCAAGTGCATTGCTAATTGCAGCATGACTTATTCATGCTGCAAACTGGGAGCGTCTATTGTGTACCCAGACTTGAGCCAGGACAAGCTTGCAATGTGGTAGTGACAGAGACACCTAGAGTCTCTGCCCTTAAGGAGCATGCATTTCTTCTCTAAAGATTCATTTTACTCTAGCACTCACCTGTATTTAAGTCTTTTCTTGGAGAAGCAAGGTTGGTGGGAGTCACATCACTGACCCTGAGGAAATCAGCATGGCTGATCTGACTTTGGGATTTCTAATCTAATGTCCCTCCCCATCAGGGCTGGCACTGCTTCCTTTGTGCCCTTGTTCCATCAGCTGTCTCTGCTCAGCTCCAGGCCCTTGGCACAGACTTGGTTCTGTGGGCCGGCAGTGCCAACTCTTCCAACGCTGCATCAGTTCCCTGAGCACTGACATCTTATCAGAACCAACACAGGGATTCCTGGGGTACTTAGGAATGTGGCTAATGAAATGATTTGTGAACCTCTGGCTACACTGTCTGATGAGAGAGTGAAATACCTGAGCCCATCTTGCAATCACGTGTGACCTCAGGTCTGTAAGGAAGCCCTGGAGTCTGACCAGGAAAATGTATAATGGAGGGGGAGAGAGATTTAAATGAACAGGTTTACAGAGGATTTGCTTGGCCTAAAGCCTGGCATTCTTATTTGTCATTGCTCAGTACTCTAAAAGCAAACTTCTGACAGCTTCTGACAAAAGATTCACTTTGAATATGTGTTTGCATCCCTTTTCTTAGGGAAGAAGAGGAGAAACTGTACCCCAAGGAGACAGGGATTACAGGATGTTCAGGGCAGCGGGGTCAAAAGGTAAGGTAGGCTATGTTGGAAATGTTACTTTCATTTCCCTGTAATATTCTCCCCCATCTCCGCCAATCCTTCCCTGTCTTGTTTTCTCTTGTATAACCCTTCTCTTTCCCCAGTTACATCTATTAGTTCTATTGTCTGCATATTAATTCTGCTTCTTAATAATCTCAAGGAGTCTTGAGCATTAATTAAATCCCATTTATAACTCTTTTGTAGATGGGTAGCTAGAAACAACTAAAGAGACACACAGTAATCTTTTTAGAGAGGTAGCTTCTTCCTGCTGCAGCCTGCAGATCAACACTCCTGTCCTTGACACATTAATGACAGATATTTCCTCTTTTGCAGGGAGCCAAAGGACTTTCCACATATAAGATACTGTAGTTTCTTCTCCATTAATTTTGACCCCTACTGGGATTAGCTTCTCAATAAGTGTATAGCAGAGACCTTTCTTTACCTGATGGCTGGTTTTCACCTCTCAGGGAGAACCAGGCGACAGTGGGGTGGATGGAACTGATGGAGAGGAGGTAAGCCATTTTTCTTCAAGTTATAAAGCCATCATGAGGTTGATTTTTTTTTTTTTTTTAGATAGGAATTTTCTTATCTTCTTTTAGGGATTACATGGATTTCCTGGGAAAAAAGGAGAAAAAGGTGATCCAGGATCTCAGGTAACACTTCAGCAAAGAAGGACAATTTGATGACAGAGATGATCTTAATTGCGTGTAAGTGGTTACTGGGGATAAACTGACAGCTGACATAATAACATAACAAAGACCTATTACCAATGAATAGATGCCACATTCCTATTTAGGGTAAGCTGGTAACTGTATAATTTTCAAGAATTTCCAGCTAGAAAAATTCAAACTATGCAAGGTCCTCCCATGATCATGTTTTGCAGAAGTCCGCGGATGAATGCATTAGCCTGTGTTGTCTTTATACCATCAGAAAAAAAATTAAAAGCAAAAGAAAATAATTTTGTGGTGTTAGTGTAGCAAATCACAGTAACTTTTTTTAAAAATTCATCTCAATATGCATTAATATATGCCTATTTGATTCCAAGAAGCTCTACTTTTGACTGATGGACTTATTTATCAAATATTCTTCAGGGTCTGTTATGTGCTAGACACTGAGTTATGTGATAAAGGATCGGAGATGGACTACAGTCTTTGTTCTCCAGAACTCCAGGACTACACAGTCTCCCCATTGTGTGATTAGGGAGACAAGCTTACCGATAGTATGATCAGAAGACATGAGGGTCCAGAGAGGGGCAGCTACCTCAGCCTAGAGGAGGAAAGTGTCCAGGAAGTCTTCTTGGGGCAATGATCCTTGAACTGAAGATGCACAGCAAGTTGCACAGCAAGTAGCAAAGCAAAGATGTAGGTGGAGGGCATTCCAGACAGAGGGAACTTGTGAGCAAACACAAGGCTCCAGGAGGTGTTCTGCTGGAAGGAGAATATGAATACAGGGAGAGGAAGATGAGGCTCAAGAGCTGGCAGGAAGAGATCAGAGCAGCACAAGGAGCCATGGGGTGGAGTTTGGCTTTTACCCATCAGGTCATAGGAACTTTTGACAGATTTAATAATGAAATTTGCATCTTAGAAAGATTACTTGGCAGTAGTATGGAGAGTTTGGAGATGACATGGGTACAAGGAAGGAGGAGAGGTATAGTGGTCGAGGCAAGGAAGGATGAAGCCTTCCAGCAGAGCCACAGCAGTGAGACTGAGCATGCGCTATCACAGGGGCCTTGCCAGGGTGGGGAACATGAGGCATCTGGGGTACCACAGAGGCACTTGATCTCTGGGTCATGCAAAGTGAGTGTCTCCTTGCATTCTTTACCCTAGAAGGCTCTCTAGGCTCACCCCATCCCGTGGGTAATAAGGCTTCCACACCAAGCTAATGGGACCAGCAGGAAACGGAGTCAGTCAAATTGCCCACCAGGGTCCTGGCTTGGGAGGGTTTAGTCAGGAACAGTTGGACTGAGGTGACTATGGAACATCCCTGTAGAGGGTTCCTGTAGAAATTTAACTATAGACATCAGAAATTGTTAGACTGGCAAGGATGTTCATACAGTAGCCACTAGCCACGTGTGGTTATGTAAATTTAAGTGAATTATAGCAAGAATCCCAGTCTTCGGTTGCAGTAGCCATCTTTCAAGTGCTCAGTAGCCACATTATGGCTGTTGTAACAGACAGGGTAGATGTACAGCCTTTTAATCACTGCAGAGAGTCCTAGTGGACTGCTATACACTGGACCAGAGACATTTTCCAGGTTCTCACCCTCACATCCAATGTCCTGACCATAGCCTTAAAATTAAACTTGAGAAGTCTAAGGGAACCTGGCTGAGATAAAAGTATGTGGAGCATTTTATCTGATTATTTCTGCCCTACACAAATGTGCAGATACACGCACGCGCACACACACACACACACACACACACACACACAGAGTACTTGACATGTAACACCATCATAGAAGCCTCTTGGAGGCTAATATAGAAGTTCATTTTATTTTTTTCAGGGCCACCCAGGTTCCAGAGGCGCCCCCGGCAGAGATGGAGGAAAGGGCTTCCCAGGAGATCCCATAAGTTACCACTGCTCACTGTTCCTGGCTCGCTTCCCTTTGCACCTCCTGCTAACCTGCAGGCAAATTTTCGCCTTGGCAGTGGGGTGGCAGTGAGACATAGTCAGGAAAAAGTTCTGTCTGTGTCTGATCTGATTGGGCCGATTATTTTAAAGGTTGAGGACTGGGTGTTAAAGTTCCATCTTATGACTCCTTAAGGCTTGTTGAGACTTTCAAGTTTGTTGGGGGACAATTTTCCATAATTTTGTTTGCTGGACTTCTAATCTTTAAAACCTAGAGATTCCCTATTTGTTGAGTCAATTACAGAAATTTCACTGTACTTGGAAGGGAAGGGCCCAATAATGTTTGAACTAGTGGACCGGTGAAGCTGCCTGTCTAGGGAAACTTACCATGTAGCAAGACCTCCTATAAATCTCCATTCATTACTAAATCTCCCTCAAACTTGATGAAATATTGCTTTAACTTTTTCAAAAATCCTGAATTTCAAATTGGAGAATTTTATCATACTTTTCATCCCATAACTTAATTACCTTGGTACTTGAACATTGTATCATTTTGCAAAAGAAGCTATTTCTGGATTCTAAAATACTTGTCTTTTAGGAGCTACTTCTGGATTCTAAAACACCTTAAAAATCTTCTTTTCGGGTAATCCAGGACGAAACAGTAACATCAAAGGACAAAAGGGCTCCAAAGGAGAACAAGGAAGACAAGTATTCATTTTTACTTTAGCTATATAGGTTGATTAATCCCATTATTGAGCTAGGTAAATTTAGTGAAATATATAACCTTCTGTAATAGAACAAGCACCTATGTTTAAGAAAGACTAATTATCTTAAAAGAAGTTTTGCCTGTAGTAGACTACACTTCTGCAAGAAAAATTGTTTCTTGAAGTGATATTGTTTGGGAAACAGTGCATGATGCAGTACCTTGCTTTCTTTGATGATGCCCAGCCAAAGTGCTAATGTAAAGAATGGTTCTAGCATGGGACCTTTGCTCTGCTGTTTTAATGACGTTTCTGTTTGATACTGATGCTTTTCTAATTTACCTACACTCGTTAGCTTACTATCTCAGGGGAATTTGTGTTTCTAGGGTAGAACTGGGCAGAAGGGGACACAAGGCAGTCCCAGCTCCAGAGGAAGAAGGGTAAGTACCTCTGCAGCTATTTTCTTGCCCTCACTATCGCTTGCAGGCAATACAGAGGCATTCAGATTATTTATTGCTGCAGGGACAGCTGATCCAGGCCAATATATTTGCAGGGTTTCTAAGTCTTATCATTGCTGACATTTGGGACCAGATAGTACTTTTTTGGGTCTTACAAGATGTTTGGCTGCATTCCTGATCTCTACCCACTGGATGTCAGTAGCATCACACATCCTCTTAGCCCATTTGTGACATCCAAAAACGTATTCAGATACTGCCAAATATCTGTGAGAGTGGAAGTGGAGGAAAAATCACCCCCAGTTGGGAACCACTGTGATACAGTCTCCATTGCTCTGTCTACCTTCCAAATGCTTTTGAATGGGCTTTGAAGACTATAGCATAAATACCCTCCTGTAGTAGTTTAGTATCTGTGAGCTACATAAGAATATAGCTCACTGGGTAAACACCAAATTGTCTTTCTCTTTACATCTCACCAAAGGGAAAGAGGAATCTCAAATACATTCTTCCTGCATGGACCAAAATTCTGTCAACCTCAGGGGTCCTGGAGTAACTTTATAACATTCCATGTGATATTAGTTCTATCACAGTCAGAACAGGAACATTGAGTTTCTTCATATTTTTAAGGAACAATCAAGAAATCACATTTTCCTTTGTGGACTCCTGAAGCTAGAGATATTCATAATGTTAGAAACTGGTCTACCATGTGCTCAGGATGGGCCATAAAAAAAGAGAATAATGTATAAAGTCCTAGATTTGGCCCTGAGTTTTTTCCAGGAGGGAACTGAAGATTCGTGGTTTTCTTTTCTATGACAAATTTGCAATCTTCTCATCAAATGAAGGCCATGGCCAGCTGTCTTCTTGCTGGGGTAGATAGTAGAAATGCTATCCCAATTCTTCTTGCCTTTGTTTATCTTGAATCCCAGATTCTGCAGGAAAAGCATCTACAGTCCAATGGGTACAGCTTCCAAGTGCTTCTGCTAACACTTCTTGGGACTTTGCCCTCTGTTTCACTCATGAGAACTAAAATGCTCAACTGAGGCAGCAGGATGAACTGAATGTTAAAATTTTTAAAGATAAATATGTCTTGTTGGTTTAAGGGAACACAACTTTTAGTTTGAAATAGCTTTAAAACAGACACTTTAATTGGGAACCTTTTAAAAGAGATGCCAGGGGTAGGGTAGGGGTTACATTGGACACACTAGTCAGTGACTTCCAAGTTACTTGCTGACACGAGGCTTGTAGCCTTCTGCCCCCCAATCTTTGACTCACTCTCAACTGAGCTCCTTTGTAACTTCTTTTCTTCTGATTTAAGCAAGGCAGCACTGATACAAAACAACACTAAGCTTTCCTACCCTCTCCCCTAACTTTCCACTGAAAGAGAGAATTTTCTCTGATGGTCAGAGCTGCTTAACTGGATGACAAATTCCAAAGATACAGCTCAACCCAAGACACTGCCTCCTGTGTGACAGAATTTCAATTTGTGTATGTTAATTGTATCATTTTTGCCAAAATGATGGGTCTACCTATTGAAAAACCACAGTTGAAACTATGTTGAAACCCTTTGTATTTTGCCTGCTATACATAAAGAATCCTTACAAATGATATTTATGCTTCTATAGTATCTGTTTTGTGCCAGATCCTGAGCAAATCACTTTCATATATTAATTTGTTCAAGCCTCATAACATACCTGTGAGGTAGATACTAGTATTGTATCCATTTTATAGATTGGAGAATCAAGGAAACAGGCAACATGCTGACCAAGTTCACAATAGTTAATAAGTGGCAGAATGAGGATTTAAACTTAGGTTATTACTTCAGATTCTAGGCTCCCAGCCACTTTGGATAAGGTTTATTATACCACCTAGACCATAAAGAGTAGGGCTGAGTGCAAAGGTACCTGAATGCTGAGGTTATATTTCTAATCAGGCCAAATTGGGCCATGCTGTCTGTAACAAAGAATAAACACTGTTTTATCTGTGCTTTTTAATAGAACAGATTTGTAAAAGCATGGAAATAGCAGCCACAACCTTTGCTTTCTATTTCTTCTCTACTTTCTCATGTCAAGAGCCTTGACTAAGTCATATACAGTACAAGCCGCTGAGAAAATGGTAGGGGAAAATTCTTCCAAATAGTATTTGCATTTTAAATGCAACATGAACCAAGGGGCAGAACCTCAATGGAGAAAGTTTAACCATCTTGTGGAGCTGCACTTTGCTCAGGAATTTCAGGAGATGGACAGTTGAAAGAGAGCAGCAGTTCTGAAAATAATTTTCATGTTACAAATGGATGAACATATTGTTTTAAGTATTCATTTTGTACCTAAAGTAATCATAGTTGTTTATCACAGTGAGTCAGTGGTTCAGAATGTGTCCCAGCTTCCTCAGAGGGAAGGCAGGGAGTGGTATGAGGTACAGATCTTGTTGCTATTGTTTAGGAAAAAAGAAGTGAGGGTCTGGACCCTGCATGATCATCTTGGCTGGCTGCCCTGTGAAAGAAGAGGGTACAATAAAGATGATTGGGTAGAGGTCATGAGTGACAACAGAAATTGGCTTTTGGAAGGGCATAGACAGGTGGGGGCTGGCAGGGTCAGCCTGGCTCTTCCCTGATGAACCCAGTGGTAGCCCTGGATCACTGCATGGTGGAGCAGACCACCAGCTATTTCTGTCCTGTAGAATTCCACAGGGACAAGCTCCATGAGCCCACATGGGGCACGGTATCTAGAAATTTTGCTCGCCCCTGAGACACAAACAGGAGTCCATATCAGAGAGAGATGGAGGTGCTACTGTTGTCCTCCTGGGGAAAGCCACTGCTTAGCAGAGAGTGGTTCCTGAGTTTTCTATAGAAGACAGTTTCTTCAGGATAATTTGAGTCTTCAAACAGCCTCCTGGGTAATTGTTAGAGACTGTCAGACTGGAGTTGGGTCTGTCAGGACTTTTAGATTGGTTTGCAATCAGACTCCAAATGTCAATGAAATTAAGTGCCCAATGTGAAAACTTGTCTATGAAAAGCACCGGGCAGGGACCCTTTCCATGTGAGCTGCTCATTACTTGTGTCAATCAAGGGATGAAAGAGGCTGACTTACCTCAGAGAGCCCTTCCTGGAGAAGCACTGACACTTTGCCCTTTCTCTTCCAGGGAATGGAAGGCCCAAGAGGGCCCCAGGGAGCTTTGGTAAGTGACCTTTACTTCCTGTCCTCTGTGGCACAGAGGACCAAGAGGATTTTTCCTGTGTGAATGGTGCTGGGAGCCTTTGACAAGGATGTTACAGGAAGTGTCTATCACCGAATGTGTTCCCCGCTGACTGATGAGAAATAAAGTCACTATCAAATCAACTTGCGGAAACAGGGGATCTGATCTAAAGCAAAGCTCCTTCACAGACACACTGTAGATGAATAAATGTGCACAGTGGAATGCCCCGCATCAGACTGACTTTCTTCTGTGTGGGACTTAGTATGCAAGAGAGAAAAGTTTTCTGAGAGTAGGAAAAAAGTTTGTATCTATTCCTTCAACTTAGACAGTCTGGAAGAGTAAAATGCTAGGCCAAGTAGGGATTGAGCCACAAGTCTGGCAAAGTAGTACCTAGGTCCTTTGTAAGTACTACAAAGAGAAGAGCTTTGTGGAAACTGTGGGGAAAACCTTAACACTAAAAATTTTATTCATCAGGGGAAACCGGGAAATCCTGGACCTCAAGGTGCACTGGGAGCTAAAGGATTACAAGGCCCACAGGAGTGTGGGATTATTCTCAAACTATTGGTAAATAATGTGAAAGTATTCTGATGGGAAGACAAGTACCTTTGAGTAAATATCAATAACAGATTCTTAGTCTACAACCCCCACACCACATTCTGCATTTCTCATCATGGGCAGGCATGTGATTTTGTTCCGTCAAACTGCGCCAACATTCACAGCTCACTAATACACCTTTCCAGAGGAGAGGTGTGCTCTTTTGTCACCTGGCATCATATCTGGATGTCAGGAATACTGAACGATTCATATTATAATATTATATATATATTAGTAATTAACATTAGCACCAGCAAATTGGTCTTCTGAAACTAAGGTCCTGTACATAGACTCCCACAAGGAAAGTTAGTCAAGAGCTAGAAACTCACATCCAGTGCACCTAAGGTCACAGGGAACACCACCTTGGTAATACTACTGATAGAGACTTCTGTGAGCCATTTCCATTGTGTTCATGGCCACATCATGAGTGCCCGAGGACCAGAAGTTAGAGCAACTCTCCTGCTCTCTTCCATGCCAGAGCAAAGGTGTGGTCATCCCTAGACAATGGCTTTATTACACATAGGTATTTAGTCACTTTATGGAGCCCACACTATATGAAGCTCACTTTAACTCTAGACTTGTCTGAAGGGGTCTGTATAGATGCATCTATTCTAAGATTTCCTGGGAATTCTTTTTTCTTCTAGAATGTTCCAGATCATTAGTACTAAACTAGAATTTGAGATTCTCTTGAATGGTTCTGAGGCCCTGAATAAAGCCATAAACTCCATGTTTTCTGGATTGAGTAACCATAGAAACAACCTAGGTCTGTTCACAGGTTTGGGCAAGTAGAAGTGGGGTAACAGCTACTTCAGATACTCAGTGGAATCCTGGGCCATGAATCAAGGCTTACTCAGTGGCTTCTGGGGAGCAGTGGCCACTTCATAGCCGGTGCTTTGGTGGTGAGGAGGATTCCCTTGAGTTTTCCCTTCTAGAATGTAAAAGAGCTATATGAGAACTATGCATATATTACATGGCAAATATGGTAGAAAGATACACTTTGATTCTTCTGGCAGGAGTTTGCTGCTAAAATATTCTTTGGCACTTTCTTTTTTCTTTTTTTTTTCTTTTAAACAGAGTAATAAAAAAAGAATAGCAAAATATCAACAACATAGAGAAAAACAAAATAAAGCAAAACAATACAAATGATACAGGGTTTAGGAACAAAATAACAGGAATTAACAGTGGCTGTTGTGTTACAATTGGTGCTGTCTTAAAACAACTTTGCTTTCTGTTTCATGCATTGATAAGCACTTTGACCTAGGTAACCATCTTTCTAGGGAATCATTTGACTATTGTCTGTATCTTGCTTTTTCTATGGGCTTTACTTTTCTTTGTTGGTCTATTGTTACTTCTTTCTATAGGAGAAGGATGAGGGTCTTAAGTCCAGGCATGGGATTCCTTAGGAAGGTCTGTACACTGAGTCTGGCTCTGCCCTTAGTTACTCAACTAATGTAGGTGAATTTCAGAGTTAGGAGGCTGTGTGCAGTATTGAATCACTGCTTTTCCCCTGGGAGTGGGAGGGTCAAAAGCACTAACGAGGAAGGAAGTTTCATTGACATCATTGCCTTTTATTCCCTTCATTACCACTCAAGGGGTTGAGTGGAAATCCTGGCAGAAAAAGAGAAAAAGGAAACCAGGGGCACAAAGGACCTCAGGTGAGTGACATAGTGACCTTAGTGTCAGTGGCTCCCAATCTTTACTTTCCCCTTGTTGAAAAATACATTCAAATATAATTTATTTTACATTATTGACACAGAAATAATACTTTTCTGGATTAGTGCAGGTCAGACCTTAGCCTAGCTCATTGGTCTTATACCTGGCTGAAGTTCTCCCCTTTGTCCATCACTGGGATTTTACTCTAAAGGCACAGACCCACTTCATCAGCTTAAAGAAACTTTGGAAGAAAACACATAAACTGAATCCTGACCATTTCCTCTGAAACCTGGGACACCGTTCTACTTTGTAACTTGTAAAAATTACTTGTGCCCTGCACATGTATTGCCATTGGCCACAGATACATGGAACTGACTGCACAAAGACCCCTTACCACTCGAATCTATTTGAGTTCTAAATATGTCTCTTGAGGTCATCGTCTGAATCTGTTTCCCGAGAGAGTAATGGGAATTGGATGGTGAGGGATTTGTGTGAAACATTTTCAGTACTTTTCTCATTTCAGAGGGCAGAGAATGCCTGGGTTTGCCCAGTGGTCCTCCTTGTGGATGCATGGAAGATTCTTTCACCCGTTTTTACGTTGGGAAAAAACTAAAACCTGCATGGCCACATGGACGTGTCTGTGGTGCTGTGTGCAAAGCTGACAGCAGCATAGTGTTTCACTCTAATGGAATCAGCGTTTTGCAACAAGTTCCCCGCATTTGGAAACAACAGGAGGGGAGCCCCATGTAGACTGGCCAGGCAGCTGCAAGCTTTGGTCTCATAGCCAGGGCTGAAGCCTGAATCCCCTGACTCAGCCAGACAACTCACTCCTCTGGGTGGCCACAGCTCTCTCCTCAAAGAGGCATTAAGGGGCTGTTGGGAATGAGATGAAGAAAAGTGAAATATTCCCCATGTGTTTTCTAAAAAGTGCTGTGGCATGTTCATTTTATTTTCATTAATTAATTAGTTATTAATATTACTGGGGATGGAACCCAGAATCTGCACACAGAGCTACATCCCCAGCCACATTTTATGCTTGATTTTGAGACAGGATCACACTAAGTTGCTAAGTTGCCTAGGCTGATCTTGAACTTGCAATCCTCTTGCCTCAGCCTCTCAGAGTGCTGGTATTACAGATGTGGGCCACCATGCTGGCTTGCAGCGTTAACTTTTGCATCAGCCCCTATTTTGTTTTTCAGGGTTCTTCTGGGATAGTGGGACTTAAAGGGAGCATTGGAAGAACTGGACCTATGGGGAGAAAGGTAATGTTGATTTCAAATACTGAGACCAAAAGTACCTGTGTCTTCTCCCTGATTTTCATGCTAAATCCTCATCACCATCAGCACACCATGAGCATTCCAGTAATATCTTTCCTTTCACTGAACTAAGAATTTCTAACTGCTTACCTTTCCAGAAAGAAAGCTCCCCCGCTATTTTCCTAGGAGCAATGGTGATCTCACTCATCATGAAATTATGCTCTTGCATTCCCCAATTACTAAATTCAGGAATGTGCTTGGTAGCTGAGTTGGGTATGGCAGGGGATGACAGAACTCAGATTTGTTTGTGTGCACAGCTATCTGTCTAACTCAGCCCACACATCTGAGGCTGTGCTGTTGGATACTGTCAGAGAGCAAACTATGGGACCCATCAAGAATCTGACTCCCCTACAGAAACCCTTTCAGGGCCCAGGTTTCTGGGGCCCTGGGGTCTGCATAGTTGCAGAGAAGGGCCTCTGCTTGGTTCAATTCTATGCTGCCAAGGTCTTGAAACTCATAACGTCTGAGCAAAAGATCTAAGTTTTCCTTTTACATTGAGCCCAGCAAACTATGGAGACATTTGCTTTTCACCTTGGCCCTTGGGAAAACCTTCAAACCTTAAGGTAGTAATAAGATGAATAAGTTCTGGGGCACTAATATGTGTAGCATGGTGACTATAGTTCATAATACTTTATTATACACTTGATATTTTGTTAAGAAAGTAGATCTTAAATATTCTCCCCATAGAGCACACACAAACAAGTATGTTAAGTTGAAGCAATAGCTATGTTAACTATGTCACAAGATGTATATGTATCATATTGCATACCTTAACATATTCATTATGGGGCTGTAATTCGTATGTCTTCCTACTGGGTAGATCTGAATCACCGGTGGTACATGCCTGACTGTCCAATCGAGCAGCATGGGACAGTCTTAACTGGTAGAACATTCCACACATGTATCAGTTGTGGTATAAGCCAGCAGGAATGTGTTAAACCCGCACAATTTTAGTTGTCAGTTATACATCACCAGTGCTGAAGGGGTGGAGGAATAGCTTCCAGGCCCTTTGCTCTCTGCACTGTTTAACTCTAAGTCTTCTCAGCCCATGCCCCAACCCCGCAGCTTGGCCTGCCTCTGCCAGTGCCTTCCCTCCACCTGGATCATATTCAGCTTCCCCAGCTCCTTCCCTGGCTCACACAACATCCTTTAGGCGTCAGCTTCCCTATTCCTTTCTTTTGTTGCTGGCTAGTGTGGATCCTTGCTTCAGTGACAATGGAACTGAAAACTAAAGCAATAATATGATTCATAGGCAAAGGTTTTAAATAAAAAAATAAGAGAAAATAGTAAAAGACTTTAGCCTGAGGAGCTGACAAATATCAAGCTGGGCCCTATGTAAGAGGAAATGAGAGAAAATAGGGAAAGGACTCCAGCTTGGGCAGCTGGAGGGGATACACTCTGATGAAGAGCCTCAGACTGGCCAATTAATGAAGACACGGGACCCATTTCATGGGGTGCTATGGTGGGCTAGGGTTTGGTCAATCATGATTTTAGTCCCTAGCTCAGGAGGAAGCCTCGTGACCTGAGTGACAGTTCACTTCTCACGAGGTAGGTGCTTTGCTCTGCAGGAATCAAAGGTGACCCTTGGTGTAGAGAAATGTCCCTGTAAACTTCTAGTCCTAGTGTTCTCAGTCTTGATGGGTAATGTGGTGCGGGGGTAAGTTTAGGTCTAATAAATCCCATTTTGCCAGCTTTTAGACTAACACTCCCTATATGACTAGTACGCCTATCTGTACAACTAAAAAGGACTTGACCCAGAGTTTTACAAAATAAAGATCAAGTTTTGTTCTACTTTTAGTTACTTATTAAGCATTTATAGGCTCAAGAGGAGAGTCACAAAGTTTTTTAGCAAAACCTGCTTATATCAGTATGAGTGCAGACAAAGTACTTGGAGGAGAGGTTTATTTGACTCCCGGTTTCCGTGGGTCCAGCCCATGGTTAGCTGGCTCTAAGGTAGGAATAGCACGGTAGGAGAGATGATGGAAGACAGACGCTCGCCCCAGGAAGCAAAGAATAGAGAAAGAAGGAAGAACAGTGACAGGAGCGCAAGCTTCCAGGTCGTTGCCCCAGTGCCCTGTCTGCCGTCAGGCCCCATCCCAACAGCATATGCAGGTGTGAGCGCACCGATGCATTAGTCCACTGAGGAAGATAATGTCCCCATGATCTGATAACCTTCCAAAGCCCTACCTCTGAATGAATACATGAGGCACTGGGATATAAACCACAACACTCTCTGCCTTGGAAGAAAACACAAATCATTCTTTTAATACTAAAGGAGTTTGTCTTTTCTCTTAGGGTTGAACTGGCTCCCCAGGCTCACAAATCTGATTTGGACCCCGCCCCCTTGCCTTTGCTCCCACAGCACTGCAAGCTTTATCACACACTACTATAATTTCTTGAATAGTTATTTATCTTTCTAAACTAGACTGTACTTGACGGGGGCAGGACTATATCTATCATGTTCAATAGTTTATTTCTCATGAAAATGATGCAGGAATACTAAAATTCCCAATCTGTTAGATGTCAGATGTGCCAGGTTCATGGTCTCACAACATAGGGGAATGAAGTTACAAACCAAAGGAGGAAGCTAGGAAAGTTTTATTGGAAATAAGAAGAATAACTCCTGGATTTCCAAGAAGGGTTCCAAGTGGACAGCCACCGAGGCCCTTTGTCAGGGGTGATTTACACAGCAAAATCGCAGTGTGGGTCAAATGACAATCAACTTATAGGATTACTAGTATAGCTGCTTAGCTAATATTGATCCAATAGGCAAATTAGCCATGTAGCAAGGGTTTATGGAAAGATCAAAGACATTCGTGGAAAGGCAGGGGAATATGGGTCCAGATGTTCTGGTCACCCCCCTGTGCATCTGATGCCTGTCTGGGCCTGCTGGTGGTGCTAATCACAGTATAATCTCAAATTGGAGTTTTCTCACAGGCCTGGCTATTGAGGTCTGGCTGTCTTCAGATTCACCTTTAGCCACAATTCCCGTGTCTTTATATTTTTGTGCTGAATTCCTTGAGGGTCCAATCCCTCTCTGACTACATATAATTTCTATCTAACTTAGCTGTGCATGGAAAAATAAGCAATTTTTGGATAGGCACATAGATTAGCAAATTAATCAGCTTTCCCTGGAGTGACATTTCTACTCTTTGCCTTCTAGGTTGGTCTTTTTTGTAACACTGGGAAAGCAGTATTTGAGTTCAGCCCTTGTCTGTGCTCTTCTATTCTCTCCTTTGGAAAGATTGCTATTTGTGCCCTATACAATGGCCCCTGTTGAGGCCTGAGCCCTCACTGAGAAGCTTGTATCCCCCTACCCAGTGGACAGACTTCCTGCTGTAAGAGCCAGGTTTGATTTTTTTTGAAACTCTTCTTACTTCGTTTATTAGGGGGAACCTGGAGTTCCTGGAGACCCAGGTCCAGTGGGGCCACCTGGACAGCGTGGAAAGCAGGTATGAGGTTCTATACCCTCACCTTGCCTGACTGAGTGCTCAGCTCTGAGGTAAGAAGAAGGAAGCTGACACCCTCAGCCCAAGCAACTAGGGCATGGAAGGTTTTTCAGCAAGTAGGTGAGGGCATTTCTCTTAGCCTCTAAGCTCTCACTCTGAAGCTGGTCTGTTAAGGTGAGCAAGAATAAAAGGGTGAGGCAGAGATGACAATGGGCGAATTAGAGTGGGGCATTTTAGTATTTGAGCAGCCAGTTCAGTTTTGTTGGCTGAAAAACAAAACTGCCTATTTCTCTCCCTTTCTTGAAAAACTTGAGGAGTAGGACTGGGAAAGAGGGTGCTGCTTTTTCAGGATTACACTTTGTCCTAGTAGTTCTGACTGCACCAAAATCTTCACCCTTAAAACAGACAGTAGAGGGACAGACATTTCATTCCTTTTAAAAAACATATTTATCATAAGCATTATATAAATATTTTTTTAAATGTACCAAGTGTAAGCATTATTCACAGTAGCCAAGATAGAGAACAAATCTAAGTGCTCATCGGTGGACAAATGTGCCATGACTCTTACAGCCAGCGGGGTCCTGAGAGGGGGCGAGAGGAGACTAAGAAACAACAACACATATACTAAAGGGAAAGTTGGGACTGGGTGGGTCCTGACCTCTGATAGAGCAGCAGCGGCAACCCAGCACGGTCTGCCTCTCTATTTACACACAGTAAAAAGGGGGGATGTACACAACGGAGTCAAGTGCAAGGTCTCAATGTTTTGCTGAGAACACAAAGTGAAACATTCTCAGAGCTGTCTGTCCTATAGTTTACAGAGAGGAACACCAAGGCAGACACCTGCTGGACTGGCCTTGTTCTAGTCCCAAGGAGTTTGCTGACCTCTAGCTCAGCCCTGGCTGAGCCCCTCCCCACAAAATGGAGGGAGAAAATGTGATATACATACACAGTGGAATACTACTGTGCCTTGAAAAGAGGGCTACGCTGTTGTCTGTGAAAGTGTGGGTAAACTTGTAGGACATCATGTGCAGTGAAACAAGCTGGGCACAGAATGACTAACACTGCACCATGTAATCTCTCTTGTGTATGAAATGTCCCAAGTCAAGCTCACAGAGTAATGACAGCCCCCAGAGGCTGGGGAGGGGTGTGAAACTTCAGACAGGAGGAATTACTTCAAGACATCTAGGGTGCATCATGGCACCTAGAGTTAATAACAATGTATTGTAGGTTTGAAAAGAAGAAAGGGACCAAGGAAGGGAGAAATGAAGAGGCACTGATAACTACAATGAGCCAGGGGCTTAAAAAGGCACAAATATTAAGGCCAGAGCAAGCTCCTCACTCACTGCAGTGCCCCATGGACAGTGCCTGGTGTCCAGCGTTCCTTCACTGCAACTTCTATGCACAAAATTTAGTCAAAATGTTTGTAAAAATGGTCCAGCTACTTCATTACCTAACAGTAGCTTTTTGTAATCTAATTTAAAAACATGAATATGCAGAAAAACAGAAAGAAAGGAAGAAAAGAAAAGTTGGAATAAAATTTACCAAATATAAAAAATAGAAAAGGAAGATAAAAAGAAAAATTATTCATAGTTGCATCATTTTGAGATATTTATCATTATATCTTAGAGATATAGAGATATAGACAGAGGTAGAGATAGAGAGAGATAGAGACAGAGATAAAGATGGAGGAGATAGAAAAAAATCAGTGCATTTTTCCCTCTTAGCAATGTATCATAAACATTTTTTTACTTTCTTACATTTTTCTCTCAAAGTCGTTTTTAATAACTTCAAAATATAATACGAATGCCTTAGTACTCAACCAGATTCTTATTATTGGAGATTTAATTTGGTTTTAGTTTTTCAGCACAGAAATGAACATTCTTATACCTAACTAAAATTTTGGACAAAACTGTAACTATATTTTTTCTATGGTAGGGATTGACTCCAGAGCCTTATAGATGCTAGGCAAGTGTCCACCACTGAGCTGCATCCCCAGCCCACTAATACAGAAATTTCTAGTATTTTCATAGCTCAGTCAAAGAATATGTACATGTTTAATGAAGGCTGTAAACTATATTTTGATTGTGCCCTTAGAAATTCAAACAATATATGGGTTCATTTTTTATATGCAGGACAGTACCTGTTTTGGGGCTTCCATAATAACAATGGGTATTAAAACTTTCCCCTTGACACAATGGTACCTCCTATTGTGCCAAATTCTTTTTTTTCTCTTGGTTACTTAGGAAGATGAACATTTCCCCCCATATATTTATTAGCTATTGGGAGACTCCTTATCATGTTCTTTGGGCCAGCACCTACTTTTACCGGCAGGAGACTGCCACTGATTTCACAAGTTCTGGACGGCCATCCTTCTCTGCTTCCCACCATCGCTGCAGAGTGGAGCTCACTGAAGTTTTATGGCACAAAATTTCTCTGCTAACCCAGCCCTGCCTAGCACGTACAGGATGGTCATGAGGAACTGTGCTAACACTGACTAAAAACATAAATATAGGATAAAATAAGAGCTGCACACTCCCCAACAAGCCCTGACCCATCTTCCCCCAGAAGGTTTATGTGTGTAGATCTCCTAATCTGAGACTGAAAGGGCTTCTGCCAGACCTGAGTAAATGGCCTTGTCAATCCGCAGCATGAGTATACAACTTGAGACGTAATACAGGTGTTCCTGAAAGACTGGTAGGAACCAGGTGACGAGAAAAATCATTCCTGAGATATCTAGATTGGCTGCCTAGACCCTTTCCCCATGTCCTCAAACCCTTATAAAAACCCCAATCTCTCACCCTAATGGCCAGGGTCTTCTTTTAGAAACCTGCCTGCTGTCTCCCTGATAGTGTATGCTGATCTGAATAAACTCTTGTCTTTTTTTTTTCTGATCCTGGTAAAATCTTTCACTACCAACTTCACAGGCCCTCTGTATGCAGTCTAGCATGGTGGGGGCATATCAAGAGTAAGGAAAACCCAGCCACACACATTTCCAGGGCTCAGGGTCCCTGAATAGGTCCCCTGCACCTGGAATTCCACAACATTTTTTTCCTGATACCAACACTTCCCTACTATGCATTACAATAAATTTTCACTTTTGAGAAATTGAAATTAATTGATATGTTTGCAGGGAGATTTTGGCATCCCAGGCTGTGGTCATACTGAGGACATGGCATATTGATTCATTTATGTAATCTGATGAAAATTATAGGGTCCAAGAGGATTCCCTGGAGATATGGGGCAGAAGGTATTGTGCACATGAACTTCTTTTGTCCTTACCATGATATTCACTTCTGTCTGGAGAATTGGGCAAGCCTGTGGCTCTGAGTACAACAGAAAAGGGACAGAGAAGTAGGGCAGCTTTTCCTGGGCTTCATGAGGAAGGGATATACTCATCCCTGTGAATTTTCATATTGGAAAATATTGTCCAGTCTTTCATGGCCTGATGTCCCACACAGTGATGCTCTCCCTTTAAATGTCCTCTCCACTTTGTCTCTGTTCTGTTCTTGGTTGCTATTTGTTCTTTATCATTGTAGGTTCATTTCTTCTTACCTGAAAGATTATAATACTTTTCTTATTGGTCTTCCAAGTCTATCTTACCCTGCTTCAGTTAACCCCAAACACCACTGTCACGAGATTTTTCCAAAGCAGTCTCATCCTGCTGTTTGCTTGATCAAACATCCCCCAGAATTCCTCATTCCTGCTAGACTGAAACCCATCTCCACACTCTAGAAACAGACACACCTTCTATTTCAACCAGAGTAACTCACAGTGTATTTATATGCAGGGATTCTTGTTAAGATTTCCTTTTCAAAACAAGTGTCTAGAATGGTGTCTTCCACACAATTGATGCTCAAATAAAGATGCAAAATATGAGTTAAAAATAGAATGTTTCATTAATCAAATCAGCTATAGTAAAATAGCCAAGGTTTTGAAACCTTTTAAACATGTTTTAACTGATGAATCACAAATAGAGATTCTTCCCTAGAGAAAAAAGGGTACAGGAAAGAGCTGCATACAAACTGCTCAGTAGGATAAGACTTCTTATTATAGAGGGTTAGATTTCTAATTTCTTGATAAAGACAGAAACTTACCATATTTTAATTTACAGATAAATGAGAAACAAGTATATTGATAAGTAACTGTCAAAATTAGCTTCCCACCACAGTCAGAGTAAATTTTTCTTTACCTTCAGCTTTTACAGACATGATTCAGGAATTTAGGAAGTAATTCAATATTTTATGGATATACCATGTGTCTTTCCTGGTTTTTAAACATTTTCTTTGGATGGTTTTAGTAACTGAACAGTCATGGAATTGATGTTAACATACAAATATTTGCATTATTAAAATATCACAAATAGTTTAGAGAATCAGTAAACCAATGATTTAGGTCCATATGACAGGGCAAGATGTCATTTAATGTTGTATTGATTTTTTTAATATAAAATATAGTTACAGGGGCTGGGGATTTAGCTCAGCGGCAAAAAGTGCCTGCCTGGCAAGCGCAAGGTCGTGAGTTCGGTTCCCGGTACCAGAGAAAAACAAACAAACAAACAAAAAAAAAAAAAAACAAAACAAAAATAAAATATAGTTACAAGGTCAATTCAGTTTAGGTTTGGAGAAAATTTCTTATTCTTTTATAGTGTATATTTTAACATTTGGAACCTTCAGGGTGAAGTTGGCAATACTGGAATTCCTGGGGAGCTTGGACCCAAAGGATTTTGGGGACTAACTGTAAGTGGCCTGTGATTCCAGGAGTAATCAGTGTTTCATCTGCAGGCTCTGGCTTTCATGTTGTAATAATAACAGTGGGTTGTCGATCCATCTTCAAGGGCATTCAAAATACTGCTACCTGGCTATGTGACCATCAACATGCCTTTTTTAGGGCTTGTATTTTTGTAACATAAGAAATGAACTTAGTGACATCTAAGGTCACTTTCATCTCTAAAAGTCTATAGTTCCATGAATATGAACTATTTTAAAGATTTACAAATTGATGCCTGGGTGTTTCAGATGTATCAATGTCTTCCAGTCTATTCTAAGGCACATGTAATTCCCTGTAAGTGGAAATGAAGTTGACCTCATCCCTCTGTGTCATATGGACCTAAATCATCCCTCAGCCCTCTGTGTCCTGGAGGGATTTCCATGATTCCACTATCTATAAGAAAGTTATATGGGACATTCATTGTAAGGAAGGATGTTGAAATATTCTAATTAGCAAAGCACAGAACAGAATACTATGCTTACTTAAGTTTCAAACACAGTACCAAGCATCCTTTCATTTTAAAGTTTGAGTGCAATATCAGTGGTCATCCACAGGGTAGAAGAGACACAATCCAACAGATATTTCCCACCAGCTTAGATACATTTCCTTAGCACCTACAACCACCACATTGAGGCACAAGACTGACACAGCCCATTCATGTACTTATGTGTGTGAGAACTCATTTTGCTTATTTTATTATTTACAGATGAGAGTTTTTTTTTATTAGATCTCTGTGTGCCCTAGGATGTTTGCTTTTTCATATTAGTACCAATCTCAGTTTATAACTAATTTGGATTTAAATACACAGCTGGTGCCAGAACCAATTATGTCATTAAATGAAAGGGCTAAAAGGGAAATAGATGTTTAAGAATGAGTGGCTTATACCACAGGTAAGCAATTTACCTGACTTGAATTAGGAAGTAGCTACTCTCTCATAAAATCAAATTCTAAAAAATTATATTCTCATTAAAATTGAGATAATTTTCATTGATAGACAGTGTTGAAACTAATATATATTCCTATCTGCAGCTCACTGTAGGCTTGAAAGGTGAAATTGGACATCATGGATTGCAAGGCCTTCCTGGGCGGAAAGTGAGTAAACTCCCGAGAACTACATAGTGTGTATGCTGGTTTTACAGAAAAGGCTTGAAATTTAAAGTCAGAAGCACTGGAGTCCAGTCCAGATTCTGCTTCCTACTAGCTGTACATCCTGGGGCAGTCACTGGGTCTCTGTTTATTTCCAAAATGAGTGTGACATGTACTGTCCTAATCACCTTAAATGGTAGCTATGATAAGCAGGTAATCTAATGCACTCTGTGAACCATGAACTGCAATGCCAATATTTGCTATTGTTATGATTTATTACCAAAGCCTTTGATGTAGGGATGGGATTGCAGAAGCTTCACAAAGTTGTCCTGGCAAAGTTCCATCATGTGAGGCAGGTAGGTAGGGTTTGCTAAAAAAACACTTTTGTTGTCATCCATCCCCAGAATTTAGACTCTAGAGAGATCTGGAAATATAGCCACAACTTTCCGCTCTGATTCCATTATGAGAGAAATGTCACTTTTGGAAGCATTCCCAGGCAGAGTGAAGCATTTCTCCTACAGCAAAATTCCCTTACCTCTATTTAGCGCCTCATGAGATTGGAATGATTTTGTTATACATCTGTGTTCCCTCACAAGCACAGCCCAGGGATAGCTAAATGCCATTAGGACCTGTGTTTTGTGGAGGGGGCTCAGGCAGCATTGTGTAAGGAGTAGATAAGAGGCTTATCTCGTTTTATGCCTTGAGAATTTCTTGAACTTAGGACTTTATAAAGAAAAAATGTGAATGGCTTTGTGGTCAGCTGAATCCTTATTAGGAAGAGAATCAACTAACTATAGAGGAAATTCGATATGATCTTTTCTTTTGCATTAAGGAAGGGTGAATGATCTTAGTCATGTAGATAGGTATCTGATCTCTAGGGCAGTCTGGTCTGCCTCTGGCTTTGTCTTCTTGCCAGATTCTGGGGCTGTCATTTGGGGGATACTATGATTTTCTGTTCTTATGCTAAACCCACTGGAATGGATTGGAATGTTGTATCTTTATCTCAGGCCTTTGGTTTTCAGTCTTTGCTTGGGAACTTGCTCAGAGTTGTTCTTAAAGTCATTCTTTTGGGCCATAGTCTCCACAGTTCTGTAAACTGTGAGCTGTTTACTCTATCACTACAGAAATCACTAAAGCACTCTGCTTGAATGGCTGTGTGTCATTTTCTCTTTTTTTTTTTGCCATAACTTGAAAAAAAGAAGGCTAAGACTGGTACCTTGTAGTGGTAGGATCAGAAAGACATGTTTCGGTGAGTAGAATCATGGACAACACAGGGTTAACACCAGCAACACAGCTGACATTTCACTGTTTATGAGACGGATGGGTGGATGGATGGATGGATGGATAGGTGACCCAATTATCACTTAGAACAGAGGTTCTTATCTGATGTCCCTGGTTGAAGGGGTGTGGAGGATTGTTAATAAAATTACACAAGTGTGAGCCTCTTGTGAAATGATAATATTAACATTCATTAGTTGTCCAAAAATGTGTAAAAGTAAAAATGTTAAAAACAACTACCTGATTCTGATAAAAGGAAGCAAGAAGATTTAAAAGAGAAAAGCTCAAGCTGCTAAGAAGCACCACTGACTTCTTTCAAGAGCCCGTCCCTGATTCACCTCACCAGCTTTTTATATTTCTTTCCTCCATAACCTCTTGGCACTTAGGAGTGTAACATTCATGCACTTTTGAGTAATGTCCATTTTGCTATCAGTGGTCCTTGGTTATCTCATATATGTTGAGGTTATCATCTCCTGCATTTAAAACTCCCTGATTTATAATATAACTGCACCTTTGAATTCCCAGTAAAAGTCATCTCCTTAGCACTGTCTTTTGGAAAGTCTACTATTTACAAGGTTAAGCTTTCTTATTAGAAATACTTTCTTCTGACTGCATATTTAATACAAATATCTGTAAGAAATACTCTTATTGCTTTACTGTTTTCCACCCTAGAAAGAAAAATCATTCAGTTCATCTGGGTGAACATTAGCTTACCTGACCTGTCGCTTGGTTTGCACACTTGGTGTGAGTGAGGAAAGTGTACTGTAATTAATCCACTGGGGTTAATGACTACTGTCTGCCAGCTGTGCTTTTAAGAAAGATTTTGTTTGTTTGCTTGTTTCTCTTATTTTATAACTGAAGGCTTCAATTTACAAACAATTTGTTTTGTTTTTGTTTCCCTAGGGCCCTAAAGGCATGGCAGGGGAGCCTGTGTTTTCTGTATGTATCTCCCTATTCATGGAAAGGAAAAAAACCCAACCCGTTCACTGGGAAATAAAACACAGCACTTGGGAGATCCTTGCACTCATGTTCTCTCTCTCTCTCTCTCTCTCTCTCTCTCTCTCTGTCCACTTACAGCAGTGTGATCTGATCCAGTTTGTGAGGAACTATACTTGTGAGTATCTGTATGTCATGGGACAAGAGCATGGGTGGCTGGGGAAAGACTGAGCTGTGGGCTCAGAAGGCCAAGGTTACAAGTTGGAGAAGTCTATGTAACAGGATTGCCCTGAGTGTCTACTGTAGGGGCCTCTCACACCAGAGGTGGGAGGAAAAGAAGGATAAGGAGAAGTGTCTCGGCTCATAAGGGGCATGTGTGCAGGAAGAGAAGACATGTACAGGAAGCAAGTAGACCAACTCAAAAGATGTGTGAATCAGCTTGCATTATTAATATGACAACTGTGCAAAAGGATGGAGGGGGCATGATATTAAACAGGTGAACATGAGTGTTTAGGGTTAGTTGGTTATTACTTAGATGCAGAAGTTGCCAAGAGCTGGTGGTCCTAAAAACTAACGATGATGAGTTTTCCAAGGCTGTGAAATTAGGGAGTTAGAAACTCAAGAGGTGAAGTAGGAAGTTGAGAGAAGAACAGCATTGCAAAGATGGGAAAGCCTGCCACATGTGGGCAGCTTCCAAGGCAGGAAGAGGGAAGCCAGTGGTGAGGAGATTCAAAGGGAGGGTAGATATGAGTGACACTAGCCAAGGAAGGGAGGTGAGAACCTGGGTCCAAGACCGTCACAGGGAGAGAATAAAGGAAAAGCTGTGGTAGGGAAAGAGTGGTGATCAAGCTCCTCAGGGTGTTGTCAGTCTTTTTGGTGAAATCAAATGATGACTTCCCAAGGGTGAGAGAGGTGGAGACCAATCATTGGAGGGTTTGGGCTTTGAAGGGAAAAGTTTTCTAACACTGAATCAAATGAGTTAGCTGGTACTCAGAGGCTGAGGAAGAGTGGGTGGGTTCTATTACCATGCAGGTTGCTGGCTAGACTGGCATGGAACTCCAGAATACAGAATGGAGACCAGACTTGGGGTGACAGGGCTTTGGGGCTCTACAGATGGTGTCATGAAAGTCCCTTGAGGTTGGATCCCTGATATAACACTGTGTGCTCTCCACTCCTGCAGCAAGTCTCCCACCCAGGAGGAGGGCTGGGTCCTGAGCTGATGGCTGGGACCCTCCTTTAAAATAAAATAGACCTAGGAATCTAGGGGAACAGAGAGTAAAAGGGAGTGTTTGAAAATAAAACAGGAGGGGCCAAGTGACTGATACTTTAAAGGGAGACACAAAAGTAGAATACTTTTAGGAAATCTCAATAAATAAAAGAAACATGCTAGAAGGGATGAAGCAGTTTCCCCCAGGGTCACCCAGCTTGGATAGATGTGAACACACGTGAGGGTCTAGACCCTGGGTAAGTAGCCTCACAGTTGCATCTGAAGTTCTTAATCAGCTGCATGAGACCCGTGCTGAGTGTTGAGATGCAGAGGAGGCTGTGGTGTAAGTGTGGTACCTGTGGACAGTCAGCGTCTCAGGAGCCACAGGAGCAGACAGACACAAGCTGCTAGTAGGGCTGCTGTGCAGAGAACATGTGCCCGGACACAGGACAGAAGAGCCCTTTGTTACCAAAGTTAATGAATTCTTTTATTAGATTGGAATGACTCATTGGCTTCCTAGGAAGTGAATAAACTAAATATGAAAATTGTCAGGCCTGTGGTTTCTTAAAGATTTACCAGAACTCACCCAGATGCGTCTCAGGTTTATAGAATAAATCATTCAGAGAAACCAGATGCATTTTGCTCAGAGAAACCCTTGGGATTTTTTTCCTTCTTCTCTCTGGATGCAAAGATCACTCAAACAGAGGAGCTATATTTTTAGTCAGAGACAAAGTTCATTTGAAAATCCTCCTGTGGCTCTATAGGAAAATAGAGATTCCCAAAGTATTCATCAGAGAAAAAAATAAGACCCATATTTTAGCATTGCATTGCAGGCTGACTCTCAGAAGACTGTGAGGACAGAGACAGAACAGACTGCTTTTCCGCTATCTTGCCATTTAATCGGTGCCCCAGCTGTGTGCTTGCTTCTAAGGCAAGTGATCAGTGTTTCAGTGTCAACCAAAATTCTGCTAAAGTCAGCTGACCATGGCTCACAGAGGAAAAGGTCAGGAAGGTTCACAAATTAATAAAACTGTATGGACACTCCCTCAATCCTCTAACCTCATTTTCAATTAAAGTCAAATAAAACAAGCTTTGTTAAAATACTGCTTTTTGGATTTTTTTTTTTTTTTGGGTTGGTTGGTATTCCAAAAATGTAACAGTCTTCTCTCTTTCTCTCTTTTTCATAGCTTGTTGGAAAGGTGAGTGTTCTTCCCATATTGTTTCTTGCTGAAATGATGACTGTGCTTTGATCAGACCAATTTGAACAAAACCCCCAGCCTCTGTGAAGACACCTCTTTGTTCCGCGCAGATGTGTCAGATTTTGATTTTAATTAAGATGCCTGCGGACCAAGCCCCTCCACACACTGGTCCTTTCTAGATCCTGTCACAGGTTCCAACTCAGTCTTCACAGAGTGGGTCCTGCATTGCTGGGGGCATGAGAACAGGGCTGACGGACCCACACACTACTGCTCTGTCTGCTCCTCTCCCCTGATGCTGGCTTATTGGACGTGTAATGTATCCTTTCTACCCCTGACCCACGTTTGCACCTGTCACTCAGCAAGTGCTGACCCTTCTCTGTGGATGGTCCTGTCAGGGCCTGGATTGCAGGTGGTGCTGTATGAGCCTCAGATCCTGTGGGTGACATGGCTAAGGAAGCCAGCAATGTCACTTCAAGATCTCATGCTCTTCCTCAGGCTTGCTGAAGTAGACTCTCAGAGTTCTAGAGCTTGTGCCAAAGTTTGGAGCCATTCACTTTAATTCTTCAAAACAAATTAACAAATAAACAAACCAAACACATACCCACCCCCCCCCCAAAAAAAAGCCTTTGCACATGGTAAGTGCTCAATTAGACATTATGGACTTGGATTAAATGTATCAGATGCCCTAGTAGGTACCAGGTAAGGGAAAGAATAAAAGCAATTAGAAATCTATTCCATTTTCTAGGAGACCCTGTGATGACAGAACAGTTTTGGAGATGCTTTTCAACCACCCTGTCAATGATTTTTAGAATAGCACTAAGAGATAAAGACTGCTTCAATTTTCTTATCCTATTGTTTATTATCAGCTTTCATATTTTAAAATTTCTCTGTAAAGTTCTTTGATTTAAAACACATCTTTAAGTTAATACTTTCCAACTTTCCTATTTCTATTCCTAAGACTAGTAGTTGGGATATGGGAGATTTGGAGTTTAACACACTTTGGGAGTTAACTACTTTTTAAAAAATTTTTTTCTCTTCCCATGTTCATATTTCTAAAACGACATTGAAAAACTAGCTTTTCACATGGGGAAGATTCCCTATGAAATTCTTAAAGTTCAGTCATCCTAGAACTACTAGTACATGTGAACTGCAGACAGTACCACTTGCATAGTGGCTCACTGTAAACCTTCCATGATACGAAAGCTGCTCCCCTCCTCCCACCACCTATGCCTTCTTTCAAAGGCCAGCTTTCCTGAAGCCCTTGAGAAACCCCTTCTTTGGAACAGACTTCTTGTCCTCTGAATCTTCATTAAAAAGAATAATTACTCTGCACATTTTTGTATAATGACCCTTTCCCATCCAATTTCTTTGAGGGCAGATCCGGATTTGGTTCATCTGTGTGGTGTTCCATATAGAGGTCACACTGCATTTTAAGTAGTAGTACTCAATAAACATGTGTTACATAACCGGATGAAAATCTGTAAAATTACTTTATCATTAATAAGTCATTTAAGTATTTTTAGGAGAGATTTTCAAAATGCCCAACAAACTGTAATTTCCTTTTATTAATTTTTCAAATATACATTCAGTAAAATTCACTGAGTGTGTGCCTAGTTTTAACATATACATAGATTCATGTAACTACCACCCCAATCAGAACATAGAACAGTTCCTAGAATCCCCCCAATATCCTTGTAAATAGACTGATAACGGACTCTGAAGTTTGAGCAATATATAGTCAAATAATATACAGCACATATAACACCTTCAAGTTTACAAAGCAGATTCTTTCCCTTCTTTCACATGTGAATACCCTGCTTCTGGAGCTGGATGAAGGCCTTGCTTTACCTTGTGTGAACCAAGGCTATGAGAAAAGCTTTGATCCAGTAAAATAATTAACACTTCTGCTTCTCATTTTTGTAGAAAAGTGTCCAGTATACCCAACAGAGTTGGTTTTTGCCTTGGATCAATCCTCTGGTGTCACCGAATGGAGATTTAATGAAACAAGGGAAATCATCACTTCCATTGTCAAGGACCTTAATGTCAGGGAAAATAATTGTCCCATGGGAGCAAGGGTTGTTGTGGTTTCCTACGAGTCAGACACCAACTATCTTATCCGTTCGTCTGACTACCATAGCAAGAAGCAACTTCTCCAGCTTCTTTCCCAAATAGAACACCAAGTCCCCACCGGGGTCCTAGACATTGGCAACGCACTAAGGTTCGTGGCCCACAATGTTTTCAAGAGGACGTATGCAGGAGCCAATGTGAGGAAAGTTGCGGTGTTTTTTAGCAATGGTCAAGCAGCCAACAGTTCACCCATCCTCATAGCCACCATGGAGTTTAGTGCCCTAGATATCAGTCCAGCGGTTTTTGCTTTTAATGAAAGAGCTTTCCTCGATCAAGCTTTTCGGGTAAGAACTTTCCTCCATTGTTAGGATTGTGGTATTGGTAAGGTCGGGTGGCAGTGGTGGGGAGCCAGGGAAACACATGGTCTTTGACCCTCATTGCAGTTTTTACAGCTGTACTGTTGTCAGTGTCCATGAAATGTAGTACTTAATAATCACAACAGCTCATAACGATAGCAGCCACATTTGCTCAGTTCCTGTCCTGTGCCAGGCACTTTCCCTAGAGCTTTACATACATATTCACATGTTCCTAGTACTCTGAAATTAATGCAGTTGTCATCTCCATATTAAAAATGAGACAGCAGATATCCAGAATGTCCTCATGATCTTCTATATAGCTACCAACTAGCTAATTTAACTTCAAATTCAGGCCAGGTGTGATGGTATAGGCTCATAATCCCAACACTCTGGGAGATTCACAAGTTGGAGCCCAGCCTGCTCAACCTAGTGAGAACCTGTCTCAAAATTTAAAAAAAGAGATAGGGATGCAGCTTAGTTGAAGGCTCTAGGTTCAATCCCCAGTACAGGTACATGAATATGGTGCTCTACCAACCCCTCTGCTGGTCCAGTGTTTCTCAGATCTGTCATCTGCTTACTGTATCTCATTGCCTTTACCTGTGATAAGTAAAGTTAAGGGAGCCTTTGAGCCCTCCAAGTGGTATAAAACCTATGATATGTATGAACATTTTTCCCCAAAGGATTCATTAATTTTGGATCCACAGATTCTGAAGAGGTTTGTTCTCATCTCCCCTCACCAAAAATCCCCATAAGAATCTCTCCAAGACTCTTAAATATATTCAAATTATCCATGGAATACCTATTTCTGGAGTTGAGCAAAACCATGATGTTGTTCAAGAGCTTAAAAATATTTCTCTTCTCACAGATACACCTACATCCACTGTAAGAAGAAAGAGGAGCTCTCTATAGCATGGAGAGATTCAATCTACTCCTAACACACTCAAAACTTTTCTGGAGCTAGTAGCCACAGGAAGCCTCACAACAGATCCTGACATAAAGGATTTGTGTTAGTCGCTTTTCTGTCACTAGGATAAAATATCTGACACCTGTAACTTAAAGGAGTAGCAGTTTATTTGACTCATGGTTTTGGTGTTTGAGTCCATGGTCAGGAAAGTTGCTCACCTCATAGCAGCCAGGAAGCAGAGAGAGAAGAGAGGAGCCCGGGGAGGGAGACACACTGCCAGGTCATGGCTCCAGGATCACACCTCTTCCAAATAGGCCCCCTCTCCTAACAGTGCATTTAGCCATGGACCGAGGAATGGGTGAATCTGCTGATGAGCACAGCACCCCCATGATCCAATCCCTTCCCGAAGCCCCACCTCTGAACACATGAGACTTCTGGGGAGCACTGCAGATCTAACCATAACAGGTGTATAGGAAGCCATGGTTCTATGCGTTTCAGTTCCCCTTTTCCAGGTTTTTCTGCTTCCCTAACGTTGTTCCATAAGAGAAACAAATGTCACTCCTGCTTTGAGAGCTGCTTTAGTTTCTAAAATGGAAGAAGTAATTTAATTCTGACACTCAGTTAGGACCATTCCAAAACCTCATGGAATTCCCAGCAAGGAAGAACCTCCAGCCACCCTTGTTAACAAGTCATTTTTAATTCACACGATCTCCAGAGTGTCTGACCCTAGAAGCCATTTCTTGTCACTCAGTTCTCACTTGATAATAACCTCACATGTTCATTCAGCCCATGGATCATGCAAAGGAAGGCTGCCTCCAGTGCTGTGTGTGCACTCCTGCCTCTGTGCTTGTCCCTGGGAGCTCCGCTTCCTGCTTCCCTCTCTCACCCTCTTCATCAGCTGCTCACTGGCTCCATTCTGAAGATGTAGAGCTGCTCTCTTGCTAAGAGAGTCTGTTTCCTTACATACTTAGAAACATTGGATAGCCAGGTGTGGTGGCACATACCTGTAATCCCAGCACTCGGGAGGCTGAGGCAGAAGAATCATTACAAGTTTGAGACCAGCCTGGCTACAAAGTGAGCTCAAGGCCAGCCTGAACAGCATAGGGAGACCTTGTCTCAAAAAGACAAAAAAGGAAAGATAAAGAAAAAAAGGAACACTGGATTTTATCTACCAAGCATTTACAAATTTTGCCAATATTATAGGTAAAATTGTTGTTTTGATCAATATTTCTGTGTGAAGTTAAAACTTTTTTGTCTACTGGCCATTTTTATTTTTCTATGAAAGCTGCCAGAGACTGAGTACAGATAAGTTCCTTGTATCATGTTCCTTGTATCATTTCTATTTTTGTACTATTCTTCAAAAAAATCTACTCTAAGATACTTGGCTTATGTCTTTGTCTCTGTAGCCTGTCTCAGACGGAATCTAAACTTGCAGTGCCTCACTGATGCTTAAAGTTTTGATAAACTGAATCTGTATAAATCTGATTTTTCTCTGTGGAGTATTAGCCCACAATCTTTTCATTTATGAAGTTAGCAAATTGATCGGAATGATTATGTACTCACATTCCCCTGAAGTGTTAGAGTGTTACTACTGCTGGAACCTCTGCCTACCATAGATCAAATTTTTTCTCTCTACCAAATCATTCTCATCAAAAGGAAAAACACACACACACAGCCTTCTTTGCTGAGCTTCTCACATCCATGACTGCCCTATTAATTGGCATCCAGTACAACAATTTCTTAGAAAATTTGTCTGTATTTGCTGTCTCCAGTGCCTCTTCCTTGCATTCTCTCTGGAACTAACCTTAGTTGCATTTTCATCCCTGGTACTGTCCTGAAGCTACTTTCGTCTAAGCTGTCAATGGTCTCCATGTTTCTGAACCCAGTGGTTGGTCCTCAGCCCTCAGCTCTCTTGACTTCTCAGCAGGATACAGTGTCGTTGATCCCACCCTTCTCTTTGAAACACCTGTGCTCCGACTGTTACCGTGCCTCGTTTCCTGGGTTTTCTCTCATCTAACTAAGTTATCTCCTCTCAGTATAGTCTTCAGCTTCCTCTTTACTTTCTTGACTTCAAACTGTTGTAGTTCCAAGATCCTGTACCTCAGCCCTCTTTATCTGTACTCAGACTCTGGCAGGTTCATCTACATGCATTGCCTTAAGGACCCTCAGTGATGGAAATACATAGCTCCCATCCTGATCGTATCCCTGAACTCTAGATTCACATATATAATATCCTACTCCAATTTTCTCTCACATTTCTACTAGGTATTTTGAATTTACAAGATCCAAAATGAAAAGTTGTGTTTTCTCTCCAAAACTTGTTCAGTCTTCTCCATCTCAGTTAATAAAAACTTCATCCTTTTATTTGTAGTTATCCACGATTCCTCACTTATAACCAACATTCTTAAATAACATAACTTTAGTGTGTACAGTAGTAAGACCTCCATTCATGACTGCTGTGAGCAATTAGGTTCTTAAACAAAAGCATTTGATAAAATTTTGCTTCCATTCCTAAACTTAATCATGGCCATCATCAGGTGGCAAACATAATTATGGCCATCTTCCCTATGCAAACATAAACACAGCTATCTTCCCCAATATCATAAAACAAATTAATGTCATGACTCAAGGTACCACTGTATATCTAGAAGATGTACCTCTGAGACAGTGTGGAGAGAAATGGTTGGTTTCATTACGTAAGAAGCCAAAAGAAACTTGAAAATGTGACATTTCTGCCAAAGCTGGTGTGCAAGGGCATAATCAGAAGCATGTAAAGATTCAGCCTGGAATTGCAGCCATGGAAATGAAGCATTTTAGTACTTGCCCCAGTGAGTGAGTGAGTCTGGGTCTTTTCAGGTTATCCTGTGACTGTATTTCTCTCTCTCTCTCTCTCCCTCTCTCTCTCTCTCTCTCTCTCTCTCTGTCTCTCTCTCTGTCTCTCTCTCTCTCTCTTTGGTCTTTTTGAGACAGGGTCTTGCTATGCAGTTCAGGCTGGCCTTGAGCTCACTTTGTAGCCCAGGCTGGTCTCAAACTTGCTATGATCTGCCTGCCTCAGCCTCACTAGTGCTGGGATTACAAGCGTGTGCCACCATGCCAAGCTGTTGTATTTTTCTTATCATAAAATGCAGATGCTGATCCCTGTTCTTTACATACATTTTTGGGTTATAAAGGAGGATTTGTGTGTGTGTGTGTGTGTGTGTGTGTGTGTGTTTGTGAGAGTGAGAGAAAGTTATCCAACCAAATCCTTATAGTGAGTGCATTATCACTTCCTCACAATGATAAAAAGACGGACAAACAGGAATTTACTTCTCTTTCCACGCAGTTTGACAACACTGGAACGTTTCAGGTGATCCCAATGCCTTCAGATAGGGAACGTGAACATCTAGAAAGGCTGCGATGATGTGTACTTTGCTATGGTAAGGCCAACGAGTAGAATGTATTGTGCTGAAGGCTCTAATGCCTTCTGGGTGAATTATTGAATCTAGCTTTATCAGAGATTTCAAATTTGATTGTAGTTTCTGTTTCCAATGTTATAGTCTTAGAAAATACCAGATGTCATCATTTCAATCTCTCTAAGGTTTGGCATGTCCACAGAGGTGAAAATTGATTTAGAAATCTACCCCACCTCTGGAGGCTTTCCTAGGGACAGTATGGCAGTTTGTATCAAAAGCCTCTAAACACTGAAAATACTTTCTAAGTGAGTTTAGATTGCAGGTATATTTGCCCCCTAACTTTGCTTTCAGCACAGACCCGAAACTGTCTGTGAGTGGCCATGAAAACACTGAGACACTGAAAACTCCTCACTGATTTAAGTGTCGTGAAATTGAAGAAGCATCGATTAGGTTGCTAATCATTAGCAGTTATTCATTGAATCACTAAAAATAGATTCCATGTAAGTCTCTTGTGCCAACATTGAACCAAAATGCTTCTGTGTTTTCAGATAAATGCTTTCCAAATATTTGTGCTAACGAGAGCTTCTTACCTGAAAATTCATACATGGATGTAGCCTTCCTTTTAGACAGTCCTCAAAATATAGCAAATGATGATTTTAAGGCCCTGAAAAACTTTCTGAGCTCAGTAATTGACAACTTCGACATTGCTTCAAACCCTACAATCTCAGAGTCTGGTGATAGGATTGCCTTGTTGAGCTATTCTCAGGATGCTTCCAAAAAGGGTAGAGTAAAAACAGAGTTTGACTTTACAACTTATGACAACCAAGTACTAATGAAGAGCCACATTCAGACTTCCCTTCACCAGCTGAATGGAGATGGCACCATTGGTCATGCCCTGCTGTGGGCCATAGAACATCTCTTCCGAGAAACACCCAGCCTGAGAAAACACAGTCATCTTTGTGGTCTCAGCTGGAGAAAACCATGAGACATAAGAATTTGCAAAGAAGGTGGCTTTGCGGGCCAAGTACGAAGGCTATGTCATATTTGTGATTTCCCTGGGCTCTGACGACATGGAACAGTTAGCCAGTTACCCACTTGATCACCATCTGATACAGCTTGGGAGAATGCACAAGCCAGATCTGAATTATATCGTGAAGTTCCTAAAGCCATTTATATACTCAGTCAGAAGTAAGTCATTATTTTTATTTGAATAAACTAGTATTTGTTAATAGAACTGAAAAGCTAAAATGCCTATGTTTTATATCTACAGACAATCAAAATATGTGAATTAGATGATGAGAGGGGCAGGGTGGGACATATCCTAGTTATATCCTGTTTATACCCTGGTTATAGGGTGAGACCTTTTCCATGGTAGAGTCTCTCGGCCGAAATCTGAGCAGTGGGAAGTGCAAAGTGACTGAAGTTTTCCTGAGTCATGTTTGTCAAGCCTAAAGAATTTCTAGCAGCCCTAAGATGGTCTCTAGTGTAAGCATTTAGGTAAAAGTTTTACTAGCTACACCACAGTTATTTCAAACTTTGGTGTAACCTGGAGACCTGTGTGAAGATGGACAGATGGTACAGTCATGTGCTGTTCCTGACACATGCAGGTTCCCATTATATATGTGTAGGGTGGAGCGTGAGATTCTGCATCATAGGTGCCCAAGTAATGTCAGCATTGCTGACTCAGGGACCACACTTTGAGGAGCATGGCTCTTGGCCAATGCACTACAAAGCATTCCCCATTGAATGCATACCAGCCATAAACTGAGCTGCGAAGAGAAAATACAGAAATTCAGAGTAACCATCTAAAAACTTTTACTGACTGCTGAAGCATACAAGTGCATGATCAGTGGACTCTGTCTAATAGAAAAGGATATACAGCAAAAGTATCAGTTTGCTAGAATTGGCAATGAAAGTGTCCTGTCTTTTACCACAAATGTTTTGAAAAAATACTCATCTAGAGAAATAGTTCTCGTCCAGGGGAATGGAGTGATTTTGCCTCAAGGGATGTTTGGAGATGTCTGGAGACAGTTTTTGGTTATCACACCTTGGTAGTGCTACTAGCATCAGGTAGGTAGAGGCTAGTGTTGCTGCTAAGCATCCTACAATTGATAGGACTGACCCTCATCCCAACAAAAACTAACTTAGCCCCAAATCTTGATGGCCTTGTACTTGAGAAACTCTTTGTATTAATCTGTTTCTCATTACTATAATGAAATACCTGGAATAATTAACTTATAAAGACAAAAGGTTTTTTTGGCTCATAGTTCTAGAGGTTCCAGTCCAAGCTCAGGTGGCCTCATTGCTTTGGCCCTCTGGTGAGGGTGGTGCATCATGGCAGGAGTGTTGGGGGGACTTCACATCACAAGCCTGGAAGCAAGAGAGACAGAAAGGGACAAGAGTCTCACAATCCTCTTTAAGGGCACACTCCTAGTGATTTAAAGATCTTCCACAAGATCACTTCCTCGAGATCCATGGTGCCTGCCTATAGCCCCACCCTGGGGATCAATCTTTTAGCCTGTGAATCTTTGGGGGACAGTCATTAAAACCATAGCACCATCCTCTTGAGGATCTCAAGAATGGGTGCTAAATATGTTCTTTCTGGAAATCTCTTGGGTTGAGAGACAGATCCTCCTGGAACTGTTCAATCACCCTACAATATCAGGTTCTTTGATATTCAAGAGATATTCCAGCACCCTTGCAGTGATAATATCCCAGCAAGGAGCACTCCAATTCCTCTTGTGAGTCAGATTTAGTTGGAGAATCCCATGACTGCCCTCCTGGGACTGCTATATGATTTCTGTAAACCTAAGATGCCCTTGATTGCATCATGTGAAAAGGAAGGAAAAGTGCTTCCAATTAAATTTTGATATCAACTCTTCTATTAGAGATTTTTATTTTATAGTAATTAAAAGTTCATTTAGATATATATCAATCCTATGCACCATAAAAAGGAAATATATGTGAAGTAGACTAATTATGGCATTCCTAAAACTTCTTACTGAGAATTTGACTCTTGTGAGAGTCAAATACTCAAAATTCAGAATTTTTATTTCTTGACTTGAAGTCATTGATATATTGTTCTTGTGCAACCAAGATCAATGGTAATGCAGCATTCTGGAAAGATTATAAAATGATTCAAAGCTCATCATGCTAGGTTCTCAAGTAGCTTTCAGTTATGCAGAGCTAACTCATTCTTCACTTCCACCTGGGCAACATTGTTTTGGGTTTTTTTTTTTTTTTTTTTTTTTTTTTGGTTTTTTCTCCAGTACCGGGAACTGAACTCACCACCTTGCACTTGCCAGGCAGGCACTTTGCCGCTGAGCTAAATCCCCAGCCCCCTGGGAAACATTGTTGAACACATCTAATTTGCTGTCTTCCCGGAATCACTTCATCTGTAGAAGTTATAATTACTCTAAATTCCTAGATTTTTTCCCAAAGTGCAGGCCCCAATTCTATACCTTTCAGTGCTGGCATTATTTGCTGTTTCACATACACAGGGGAATGATAAAAAGATCATAGCTCCTGCCAAACCAACCATAAGTACAGTTACACCTGATCAGAAAACATGTTCTCATTTTAGACAAATAAAAAAAGAAAAATTGCTCATCTTAGAATCAGAAAAGGTGTGATTATTACAAAATTACAGGCATTCTCTGAGATATTTTCCTGGAGTCCTCTATCATTCAATGATCAAAGGTTTCCTTTAATTAAAAATGATTTATTTTCCTGAATGAGGGAAAAATTATAAATGTCTCAGTATTCTACAACTTATAGAATAACACTAGGGAGATCATAAAAGAAAATATTATTTATAGCAGTAAGCTAAAATATTTTCTGTGGTTCTTTTCTTCACAGGAAATCATGTTAATTGATGCAGAAGTACAGAAATAGCATCATATAATAAAATGTTCTATTTTCTACATTTGATTCAACAGCATAAATTTGAGTGTAAAAGCTTTAGAGAATCTGAATCAAATGTCTGTTGGTTTACATTAGTCTGGGCATGCATCACAATTAACCCGTAGATGAACAACCTGAGATCTCTTTTCATGACTCCAGGAATTCTTTGGCTTCTAAGACACTCAAATCAAATTCTCAATGCTCGGGGCTGGGGATTTAGCTCAGCGGCAAAAGCGCCTGCCTGGCATGTTCAAGATCGTGAGTTCGGTTCCCGGTACCGGAGGGGGGAAAAAAAAAAAAAAAAAAATTCTCAATGCTCCTTCTAGTTGTTAGTTTTCTGTTTTCACTGTGGCCAGATCATGCTGAAATATGTCAGTAGCATTTATTGCTTCAAGAGGATTCCTGTTGAAATTCTGTTTACCTCATGAACAGTTTCTAGTTTTAAAATCTAACTCTAACTTTGTTCTGTCAGTAGAAGAATTCAATTAGTACCCACCACCCATGCTGGAGGATGCCTGCAGGCTCGTCGGTTTAGAAGATGATCAGAGCAGCAGTAGCCAATGAGTCAGAAGGCTGTTATATTCACAAGTAACTGCTAAGTGATGGGTGTAGAAGTGGCTCATGGCGAGTTGTTAGGGTGAGGAAGCTAGCTGGTTCTTGGAAGTAAAAGCTCTTCACACACCCCATTTCTGTAGTAACAGTTACATTCCAAGCATTCTTTCTGGCTTGACGTTTCTATAACATCATGAGCTTTATTACAGTCTCACCTTTAAATTCATGGTTTCCTCAGGAATTCCTGTGCTGAAATTTCCTCAGAATGGAACCCACATTTTATCCCTACGCCATCTCAACCTCATGTTTCATTTCTCCCCATCTTGAGGCTCTGGGTTCTGGCTGCAGTACTGTCTGCCTTGCATGAATTATACCTTCACACACACACACACAAACACACACACACACACACACACACACACACACACACACACAGACTATTCCACTGCTTGAGATGACCCAATTCCTCCCAATGAAATCCTACCTACCTTTCCTGGCCCATATTAAAGCTGTGTCTTCTTTGAAGCCCATCTCTACTCCAAAACAAAATCCACCCTCTTGTTCTGTCCCATTATGACGGTTTATCCCCTTGTCTGTTCTCACTGAACTCTGGGCATGCATATAGTTTGTCGCTTCCAAACATTGCATTCTATGCCTCACATTATAACTGCACAAGTACAATATAGTTTTTCTTAATACTGTATTACAGCTAAATAGAAATAGGAATAATTAATCTGAGTTTGAACCTTAAACAGGGGAACAGTGGCCCATGTTGGTTCTTCCCTGAGCTGATCCCTGACTGAGCTTTGTAAAAGCCCATACTCATACACACTATTACTCCCTCTTCTTAGAGAGCAAGTAGCAGAATGCTTCTCACAACACATAAGCCCTGTTAGATACACCCAGAAGTAAAATGGCAAGGTTTCCCAGAACCCATTCAAGGACATGTGACCCTAATATCATTTCATTTCCTTGGGACTTTAGCAGGGAAATGTTTGGAAGCCAACACCTTCTGAAGGACAATATGGTACTAATGTCATATGGAGCAGGATTTTTCCAATCTTGAGTAAGCCATCAACCTATTTAAAGAAAGCTAGGTGTTTACAGGACTGCAGGCAAAATACTATTTTTTTGTTGTTTTGCCTTATTTTTGCACTGCTGGGATCAAGCCCAGGCATCTGTACATACTAGGCAAGTACTTTACTACTGAGTTACATTCCCAATTCTATTAAGTTATTTTAAAATGCACAAACACAAATCCAGCTGGAAATACCTTATGCAGCTATTAAACCAAAACTGATTTCTACATCATCAAATCCAAACCAACTCAATAAAACAAACATTTTCAACACTAATTTTATGTAATGTATAATTCTTCTTTGCCAAAATGGAATTCCTGAAAACCAGAAGCATATGGTATATCTTGATAAATCATAAATAATGGTGCATATTACAGAGATCCATGTGCATTCAGCTGGCCTCCTCTGTTGCATGATGAACTTGATTTCTTACCACATCTGCACCTGCACTACTACAAAATCATCCAGAGCATGGGTAGTGATATCACTGGGGTTCTCTTTCCCATGAGTACATCACACATGTAGTTACATGGGTGGTGATATCACTGGGCTTCTTTTTCTCATGAGTATGTCATACATGTAGTATATCTGACAATTTTTTTTCCTTTCCTCGTTAACTAGCAACAGTTAAAGTAGTATTCAGGGTGTCAAGGACCAGTCTCAAACAAAATGCAAACACAGACATTGAAATTGCAAAAAAATTATATGATCAAGAATAAACTTATATTGAATATGTTTCCTATTTATCATCTAAATAAAACACAGAATTCTCAAATTACCACAAACAACTCTTAAACTACCAAGAATATAATGTCAACACCCTTTTAAGAGGAACTATACCAAGTGATATCTGTTATATACTTACTCTTTTCAGAGCAGTGCTTTATAAATTATACAACTATTTTCTACAGTAATTGGTATCAATCTGATCTAAGACATAAAAAGTTGTCCCAAATAATCTAAGATTGAGTTTCTTTCTGTTTATCTAGAACTCTATGCAAATCAGATTGGGCTTATTCTAAAGTAATATTTCTTAGGCTGTAAGTAAATGTGAAAAAAGGAAGGATAAATACAATTTTTATCAGGGTTTTAAAGGAAGTTATATGTGTACTATTTCACTGTGTAAATATACCACATTTTCTTTATTTGCTTATCAGTTGGCAGGCACCTAGGCTGTTTGCTTACAGTAGTTATTATGAATTGCAATGTGGGTATGCAGGTATCTCTATTGCATGCTGACTCTAATCTTTTCAGATATAGACTGAAAAATAAAAATCACATGACTCATACAAAGGTGGGTAGAATTGGAGATCATCAGGTGAACAAAATAAGCCAGACTCAGAAAGATAAATATCACATGTTCTCTCTCATATGTGGGTCTAAGGGGGAAAAGAGGTGACATAAAAATAGAAAAAAGACTATTAGAGAAAAGAAAGGGAATTGGGGAAGAGGAGAGGGAGGGAGAGGAGTGGTAATGTGGAAGAGGGAAAGAATCAGATGATGTTACATTCATGTATACATATGTCAAAATGATGTGAGCTAAAATGAAACCCATTATTCTGTAAAGCCAATATTCAGCCAAATATAATATGTATAATAAATCTTTACGAATTATTTGGTTGAAATGAACTTCATTTTACCACCCTATTATTTTTCTTTTAAGAAATAATTTGAGAACTATTAAATTATTGGGATATTTTACTTGCATTCCCAGAGTTAGTTCATCCCATCTTTTTTCTTTTCTTTTTTCTTTTAGATTTATTGATAAGCTACACAAGGTTTCTGCAGACATGAGCAGTCTCATTGGCCAGGAGCTCAGCACTGGGAGACAGTCACCTTTTGTGTTGGAGGACAGTGGAGATGCCCATTTGGTTTACATCCCAAATGGAATGTTAGAGCCACATAAACTAGTGACTAACTATGAGAAAGGTCAGGAGCCCACAGAAGCTACAAGTCTGACTTCCGGTAAGGACATGAAAAATGATGGAAAAGTTTAAGTAGCCTAGAGCCTATTCTCATCTTTTAACACCAGCAAAGAGTCAGATAGATTAAAGCTGATGTCTAAGGTAACTATTTCTCTTCAAATTCAAGAGGGTGGCTACAATTTCTGCTTTACTAAAATTGAAGAAGTAAATAGTGAAAAGTACCTGATCCTGATAGCAGCTCTTAGATATTAGTTTTTTTTTAATTTTAAAGAGAGTAGTAAATGAAAAACAGACAAACAAAGAAACAGAACAGTAGCAGCATACCAGTATCACAAACATAAACAAATCAAAGCAAGAACATTCAAAGTGATACAGAGTCTCAAGACAAAATAATACAAATCAGCAGTGGTTGTTACATTACATATCGCTGTCCTCAACTACATTGCTCAGATTACCAGATGTAAGAATGAAAGATTGCTCAAACCATAAGAGAGAATAAGAAAATAATTCTTCAATAAAACAGTAGAGATAATACAGAGTTTCACTAGACGAGATGGTAGGAGTTCACCATTGTAATTCCATTGCATATTGTTACCTTCAAATCAGTTGCTCATACCACCAGACACAAGCATGTACAATCGATCAGAACATAAAAAATTGTGATCATTAACTGTTCATTTCAATACATCAGCAATACAGTTATCACAGCTATTCATATACATGTATTTATATTTTGCATTCCTTCTTTTTTTCTTCTTTCCCTCATCCCAGTTGTTCCTTCCCTTGAGCAATTTCTTTCCCTTTCCTATCATCTATTGCACGTTTTGAGTTTTACCTAGTCTTTCAGGTTCCTACACAAGGAGACAATATAATGTTTACCCATCTGGGTCCGATTTATTTCACTTATGAGTGTGGTCTCTAGTTGCATCCATTTACCTACAAAAGCCTCGAGTTTGTCTTTTTTAATAGCTGAGTAATACTCCATTGTATAAAAAAACCACATCTTTTTTATCCATTCCTCAATGGGTGGATATCTGGGTTGTTTCCAAGATTTAGTTATAACAAATTGTGCTGCTATAAACATGGGTGCACATACAATATGTAGTACAATATCTTTAATTCTTCTGGGAAAATACCCAGGAGGGGAATAGCTGGGTTAAATGGGACTTCCAGTCCTAGTTTTGTGACGAATCTCCAAACTGATTTCCACAGTGATTTCACCAATCTACACTCCAACCTGCAGTGGAATAGGGTTCCTTTCTTCACACAGCCTCTCCAGCATTTGTTATTGGTTGATTTCTTGATGATGGCCTTTTTTTCTTGGGTGAGATGGAATCTCAGTGCTGTTTTAGTTTGCATTTCTTGAATGACCAATGACTTTGAACATTTTTTCATGTATTTATTCACCACTAGTATCTCTTCATTAGAGAAGTGTGTATGCATCTCAGATACCCATTTTTGGATTGGGTCTTTGAATTTGAAAGGCCTGATTTTTTAAATTCTTTATATGTCCTAGATAGAAGTCTTTTGTCTGAGGGGCAGTTGGCTAAAGTTTTTTTCCCAATTCATGGGTTTTCTTTTTACTTTATTGGTGATTTCTTTAGATGTGCAAAAACTTTTCAATAAGATAAGATCCCAGTTGTTGATTCTTTGAAGTATTTCACGTGCAGTTTGGTTTTTGTTCATGAACTCTCTGTCTGCCCCAGTGTTGTCAAGACTTTTACCTACTTTCTCTTCCAATAAATTTAGTGTTTCAGTTTTAATATTTAGATCTTTGATCCATTTTAACTTTAATTTAGTGCACAGTGAAAGACATGGGTCTGGTTCTAGTCTTTGGAAAACCAGTTTTTCCAGCACCATTTATTAAAGAGGCTATCTTCCTTCATTGAACATGTTTGGCCCCTTTGTCAAAGATGAGGTGACAGCTCTTAGATATTAGATATCTCTGATATTCTTGCCAAACTTAAGATTTCACAGAATCTACACTTTAAAGGGTGGTGTGACTTACAAAGAGGCAGTATAGAGAAAAAGAGCAAACAAGGGGTTAAATGACTTTCAAAAGTTGGTCAGACCCAGAATTTGTGACTACAAGAGAAGGTGTAAATTTTATTTGGGGCTACCCAACAATGATAGAGCATAAACTCCCCCACTGCCTGTGCTTTGTGTTTAAATGGCAAAGCAGGATTTAATACATTAAACAAATCTGACACATAAGATTATGTCTGTATTTCAATTAAAAGTATGGAATTCCAAACAGACTATTCAGCCATTCAACTTATGCATTTAAAATTTTCCAAAATGTTGGTTTGGCCAGAATGCCAGCATCTTAAGCACTTTGTCAGAAGTGTCACGTAGGTAGTTAGACTATGGAAGTTAAAGGAAAAAGGGGTCAGTTTCATATGGTAATATTCATTCTTGGCAGCTTCCCTCGTTACATTTTCTTTTTCTTGGATTCAACACTTATGTCTTCTGAAACATAAATATTTGAACTTTAAACAGCCAAACTTGCTTTGTAAAAGCTACAGTGAAGGATTAAAAAGTCAACTATTAGTTGAAAAGTAAGGTATGTTAGCAAAAAAAAAAAAAAGAAGAAGAAAAAGAAAAAAGAAGTGACACTGTCAACTTAGATGTGTGCAGTACCATGGTGTAAAGGCATCCAAGTGTACTTATTTTTTTAGTAAATTAATTTCTTAATTCTCACATAGGCATCGCCTAAACAAAAGAATTAAGTGAGTTAAATGTTTATTCTTTTTAATGGATGTTGATTATTTTGATTTATTTTGTCATTTTAATGACATGGAAATTGTAACAGCCTTGAAGACACAGGAATTTATGGTTTATATTTGGTTTATAAAGAAGGATAAAAGATAGTGTTAGATAGCAAATTGTCATTTGTGATAGTTTTATTGGAACAAAGCATTTAAAAGTCTAGTAATTCAGCTGTCTGAACCCTTTCAGGAAATACTGATAGATAAAACTAGATTACAAGAAATGGAAGGGAAAGGGGTGAAGGAGAAAAGAAGAGAAGGAGAGGGGAGGGGAGAGTGAGAGAGAAGAGAGGGAGAGAGGAAGAGAGGGAGAGAGGGAGAAAGAGACCACTTCAGCTTTGTAGCTATCATTAATGGACGTTGTTCAATAATAAAAAAGAGTTGTCAGTTGATTTTCCAGACATCTGAGAATCAAGACACTTATAGCCGGTATTAAGGTCCAATGTGGCTGAAGGAATAATTGTTCACAGTTCTGTAAAAGTATGGAGGGAGTTTTAGGGAGGATTATGTCAGACCCAGAATTTGTGACTACAAGAGAAGGTATAAATTTTATTTGGGGCTGTGATAGCCTGGAAACAGTCTCAGACTGAAGGATATTCCTTTAATATAAATCTGAAACTTAAATCATAAGTGTTTCTAGGGGCTGGGGATTTAGCTCAGCGGCAAAGCGCCTACCTGGCAAGCGCAAGGTCATGAGTTCGGTTCCCGGTACCGGAGAAAAACCAAAACAAAAAAAAAAAGTGTTTCTAGACTCTCTCTCTCTCTCTCTCTCCCTCCTTCCCCTGCCCCCTTGGGCACACTTTCAAATCATTTTTACTCACTTACCAAGAACTGCTGAGAATTTTCTGTGTCATGTGTTATCTTTCTGGAGAATAAGCTGTGGTTCAGATACTTTATTTAGTTGCTAAGAGTTGGGCTAATAAGTTTCAGATGTATTGTACAAATAAAATGTTGATAATTTCCATCAACACCTCCTTATGCTGTATTTATTACTCATTTATAATGTAATTCTTACAGCTGATGGCTGATCTTTCTGCCCTTGAATCGAGAGAGTGTCTTGGGGAAAGTCAGGAATCAGAACCATTTAAGAAGTTTATAGTTCCCAGCACCCTGTGGGCTGCAGTCAGCTGTGTAGCACCCTCCTTCCATGATAACCACAACTGTTTCCCTACCCACGTCTTTCCCTCTGCTTCTTCCTGTCTGCTTTAATTTGCATTGAGTTCGGCTTTAATTCTATCCCATTATCTGGTTCTAGAGCATCCTGAATGAGAATTATCTGAAAGTCCGCCATAAGCAGATTCCTAATCCCTCCTCAGAACTATCGCTTCATATTTAGGGGTGTGAATGGGGAGGAGAAAGCTGCAAGTTTAATAACCACCACAAGTGGTTTTTGTATGCCTTCAGCTTTGATATCAACTATCTGCCAAATTATGGTCCTTATATGGGCAGCTTCAGCTGAGAACTTATTAGAAATGTGGATTCTCAGCACTCAACCCAGACCTGCTGAATCAGAAATTCTGGTGATGGGGCTCAGCAGTTTGGGATTTAACAAGCCACACAGGTACTTCTGCCAGCGCCTGAAGTTTGAGAACCATTACACATCCTGCCACTGTGATGTGCTAACTTTCTTTCATCTGTGTGCCCAGGAGAGCTGAAAGCAATCAGGCATCCAATATCACAGAAGGGAAGTGAGAGTTATGTTTCCAAAGGGTTCCAGGTGAACTGGGTTATAATTTTATTTTATTGGTCCAGCCAGCCAGGCAGTCAATATCTGTCTGACAAAACACTTTAAGACCCAAATAGGTAGAGATTATGTAGAGATACTAGTGAGAATTCTGACATACTATCTGAAATATTAAATCCCTTGTAAAATGCAGTCCTTTCTAAGTACTTACCAGTGGGATGTTCTTTTAAACTATATAAAGAAGGTTAGGTTAATTCTAATTAAATTGCAACTCTTGACCCAGTGGTGAAAGATTTTCTTTACAGAATGGAAAGTTTTTCTTGACCCAGTGGTGAGCCTACCACTTTCACCAGTTGCTGCATTAACCAGTGTTTAGGGTAGAGCCAGTCTGCTTTCAGGATTAAAGAAAAGAATAATTGTAAATAAATGTTAAATAACAATGCAAACCCAGCCTAAGCCTTGTTCCCTGATTTAGCAGCCCCAGGTCTTGGGCTGACTTCAGCTGGTGTTCTTTCCAGTGGATTCATTGAAAAGCGAGAAGCACCACTTCTATCTTAGGCTAGACTAGAGCAGTGCATAAGAGAATTT